TGCCGAGTGTGCCAAGGATGTGGCCAAGTGAAGAAGAACTGGCTTGCAGGCTTGCAGGCTGGCAGGATGATCTGATGCCAGGCTGGCAGGGATCAGGGAGGGATGGTTTGAGCTCGCAATGGTAAATTGATGATAGTCACCTGACACCATGGGATTTTTCCATGAGGCAAAGCCCATGCCTCATCCAATAAGCAGCATTTTCCAGGCCAACTAATCTACACAGGAGTGGTCCAGTTTTGGCCCCGTTGCTGACCTTTTGCCCTAGCCTGTGGGAGACAAGTTTGCGCCTGGCCAATCCATGCGTTTGCACACCCGGTTTCGCAAGCGTGTAGGTTAGTCTTAACCCATGTGCCCAGGCATCTTCTGCTAGCTCAGCCCTCAGAGTTCCTGCACTCTTACACCACTGGTGGTGCCTCTTAGCCACTTTTGTGCCCCCACCCCTGTGTCATTAGGGCTCTTTGGCAGTTCATGGTCCTCAAGACCAACTTGAGCTGCACGCGTGGGATTTCTTGCATTTGCAGCCTAGGTTCCCACATCAAGCCCCTGTTCCCTCCTTGGCTGTGGGGTGGCCATCCTTGCATGTTTACCTTGCGCAGCTAGCCACAGGTGGTCTTTGCCATGTGCTGCGTTGGCATATCAGGCCTCCTGAGCCCCCTCTGCTCAAGCACACAGTGCGCTAGGTGGCCCTTTTTCCTGTTGCTTTGAGCCATGAACAGCTCCTGCACACCTGAGCTTCAGGAGGCACTTGGAAGGCTTGCAGACCTGCAGGAGGCACTTGGAAGGCTTGCAGACCTGCAGGCAGAGCTTCAGACCTGCCTTGGACCCATGAGGCGCACCCTTGAGGCCAACCAAGAGGAGTTGCATGAGACCAGGCTTTTGGTGAGGAACTTGTCCTGGGACATCGCATGTCTCCACTACTGCGTCGCAGTTTGCTGCCTACTTCTTTTGATAGCCATGCGATATTTTTGCTGAGCATGCCAGAAAAAGAGAGACGAGATTCTTTTCATATTGAAAAGGCACTTCTCCTTTCGGGTCTTGCCATCCCATGTCTGCCAGGTGATGTCTCCAGATTGCCATGGCCTCAGTGGCTGCTTTCATGTCCATAACCCTGGGCTTTGTGTGTGTGTGCGCCAATTTTTCAGGGTTTGGAAGGTGCCCAAAATCCCAACAGCCCTGTCCATGCCATGGCATCCATGGCATGGGGCATCCATGGCATGGTCCACCCAAAATCCAAGGCTTGCCAGGGGAAAATGCCCGCACTCGTTCTTTTGAAGTTCTTTCCCCAAAGTGAAGGCATGTGTGTTGGCCTTGGAGTGGCTCAGCACTGCCTGCACTTGGAGAAATGGCCCATCCAAAATTGTGAATGCAATGATGCTGGTCAGGCAAAACCAAAGAGAGTAACAACCCAAAAAGCAGTTCCAGGATGCCTTTAATGACAGCTGCCATGCTTTGAAGTAGACACCCACCATGGGCGCACCAGGTGAGGGGCCGGACTTGCGTGCCACTGTAATGTGTGACACACTGCTATTTTGAGGGGGTGACTGTTTAACATTGTGAAGCTCGATTCATTATATTTTTGCCACAAAGAGACAACCCCTGGATTCTTGAAGCTGTGGTGTCTGTGGGCTGTCTGCCAGTTGTGTCTAGCCTTTGGGTATCCTTGAAAAGTTGTGTCTTCTGCGCTCAGCCATGCCCAGGTGCTTTGGGGAAGCCAATCTGCTGGTCGGCTGTGAGGATGTCAGTTTGAGAGGAAAACAAATTGTTGTCTTGTTGAGCCTGCTACTGTACTGGGTAATTGTGTGCGCACACCGAAATGATAATGTTGAACGAATGGCCAGCCAGTGGAATGATGTGCCTGCCGTGGGTGGGCACCTTTGCATGCCCAATGTGAACTGCCATGAGTTTTTGGCTCACAGCACAGCACAGCTTGCAGGCCAGCAGGCTTGCAGTCCAGACAGCTTGCAGGCAATGCCCCAACAGAGAGGGCTTTCGTATGAGAAGCGGCAAGGTGTCAGAACACTCAAGAAGGCTGTCAAGGTGGCCACAGAGGAGGCTGCAACCTCCAACCAGAAAATTGGCATCTTGAAGAATGATGTGAAGGAGCTGAACTCTGCACTCAAGCACGTTGCGAATGATCTGATGGAGGAAACGTGCCTCCGTGCCAAGGCTCAGCAAGAGACTGAGAAGATCAAGAAGGGCAGGGACGTTGTTCTGGAGAAGCACCAGGGGATGTGGAAGCGGGTCTATGACAAGTGCAACCAGGCAGGGTTGACCAAGCATGACCATGGGCCTGGCAGTTGCTACCCCTGACTTGACCGCAGGAAAAGGACGCCCTCTGCATTGAGAATGCAGACTTGCACTTTCAGATCATGGACTTGCAGGAGAAGCAGGAGCAGAGCTCTTCTTCCAAGAGCCAGCCATCAAATGCCAAGAAGCCTGAGAAGTCTAAGAAGTGAAGCCAGCATTGCAGGCCTACAGGCCTGCAGGCTAGCTTGAACTTGGCTACCTGGCGCCGTTCTGGAAAAAAGCTTGTGAAGCGGTGGGTGTTTGTGTGTGTGTGTGTGTTACCCATGTGTGGTTGCATGTGCCGTGCGTGGCCTTTGCTGAGCAGCTCAGTTGCGCCTGTTTAGGCTCAAGGTCACTGTGTACATGTCTGTTTGCGCTGTGTTATCAATGGGCTTCTCCTTGCGTTGCAATTGAAGAGCCCACCTGCGGGCAGCACTCATCAGGGTCAACCGATGCAGCACATGCACTTGGGGCTTTGGGGCTGACGCGCATGGCTTGCAGCTGGGGGGCAGGGAAGGGGACTGGAGCATTTATTGGTCTGGTGCTGAACGAATTTCCTGCTGTTTGGAAATTAGATGTTTTGCGCCACTTGGTTGATTGAAGGTTTGCCCTCCCCCTTGCATGATGTCTTCAAGGTTTCTGGCATTAATGTTTAGTGTGTAATTGGTGTTCAAATTTGACAATCCCATCAAGGAGCATCAAAGCTGAACAGTTGTCCTGGCGAAAGTGCAACATTGGCTGGCAGAACCCCAGCCTCCAATCGGTCAACACCTTCAAAAGTCAGTGGGGCCCTAGTGTCTGACAAGGGCTGGGGTGAACTGCGAAAACTTGCCTTGAACATCCTTTAAGCCTCTGGCCTTTGTCTTACTTGTTCCCAACCCCTACAGTGATAGGAAAATCCAAGGCATGGAGTCCATGCCTTGGCAGGCTTACAACCCCACAATGTGACTGCGCCCTAGTGAGTGGCAACATTGCCTCTTTGCCTGCCAGGCCTGTGTCACCCTGAAGTGAGGGCCTTAGATGCCTGGGCCTTAGTGTCTGCACCTTAGCTTGCAGCAGGCTCCGCTCTGCTGGGGCCTTAGTGAACCTCAGTGCAGGGCTTGAGCCTTAGTGCCCAGCTGCCCCAAACAGTCAAATGGCAACTTCTTTGGCTGCAAGCGTCTGTGTGCAAACACATTGTGGCTGCAGTGTGGTTTGGTGCACGGGTGTGCAACAGGGCATGAAACTTAGGGTCATGGTCAGCACACGTAGCCCCACATGCATTTTCTCAATGGCTGTGCCCTCTATGCATAGTGCTTTGCAGTTGTTACAGTTCTGAAGCAAAGCAGGGATATATATTGACCACTAGGCCATTGAATATTGCAGTCTTGGTGCAGGCTAAAGTGCCCCATGACCATCCTCCCTCTCTGGCCAGGCCTGCTTGGTCATCTTTACCACGTGCCCAAAAAAAAGGTGCGCTTTTCAGCGCTACCCGCTTTTCAGCGGTGCCTATGTTTTTACCCTCCCTCCCTCCCTCCCTCCCTGTGAACTGCTGCTCCAGGTAGCCCGCCAAGTAGTCAAGACAGGGGGGATGCAAGAGGGACCCTTAGGGAATGAGAGGTGGGATGCCTGGCAAACAAAACTAAATCTTGGTATCTTAGAATGTTGGTGCCTGTATCTTAGTTCCACTTCTTCTGGTTTTATGTTTGACAGCCTTCTGTCCATGTAGCACTCGTTCAAAACAAGTTTCAACTTCGAGGCTTCACATCAGGAAATCCGTGCGGGATACATTTGTCACTTGCGAAGGGCATTGTGCCGGCACGTTCAGGGGGTCAAATTGACCAACAATGCTTCTGACAGGGTTCCAGATTTTCGCGGATCGGATAATGATCCCAGCACGTCCCTCGGGGTGAGTGCGTCGCTCCTGAACGCTGGGGAAAACCGTCGCTTCGGAACGCTGATTAAAAGTCGCTTCGGAACGCCGCAAAACGTACTAATCGCTTAGGAATGCTGAAAGCGCAGCCACATGCCACGCGCTGCACCGAGACACCAGCGAGTGCTTCGCCCTTGATTGCTGGAATCGGCACCCATGCGTCCACGCGCTGTCATAGCAGTCCGCAGAGCCTGGCGTTGACTTGCCCTCGTTGACCTAGAGCAAAGTTTCGGGGTATGTTTGGGGAAACTCTTTTTGTTTTGGGGGAGAAAGGGAGGGACCCACCAGGTGTTTTCTTCGGAAACCGCATGTTCACAGCAGCTTAGTTGAGCGGGTGTGCTTATCATCCCCCCCCACCCCCCAGAGCAAATTGATTGGATTTTGCACGCCCTGGCTGGGATGAAGCAGTTCAGAGGGTGTGCTTATCATGCGCCCCCCCCCAATCCCCCGGGTGTGCTTATCATTCCCCCCCCCCCCACCACCCCAAAACAAATTGATCGGATTTTGCACACCCTTACTGGGATGAAGCACCGCACCCCCCACCCCCGAACCAGATGAACTTGCACATTTGGTTACAGAGTGGGCTGGTTCAGTTGAGCGAGTGTGCTGATCATATCCCCCCCCCCGAGTTTGCACACCCTGGCTGGGATGAAGCAGTTCAGCGGGTGGGACGCTTGCGTTCGGAAGTGATCATTTTTTCATGACCGGGTTTTGCAACCCTTTCGGCGTTTTGAGTGCTCAGTGTTCTGAAGTGTTTTTTTTTGAGTGTTCGGAAGTGATTGTCTACCTCCCTCGGGGCCAGGGAGCGGTGGGCGGAGAAGGACTGGAAGGCCTTCGTTCGGCATCAGGCCGCTTTCGAGAAGTTGGGGAGCCGGCTGTGCGGTGTTTTTTTTTTTTTGGGGGGGGGGGGGGGGTGAAAGTCGCTTCGTGCAATTTGGCGGCAACGGGCGACCTGGTGCAACAAGGGCTTCAAGCGCTTGGTATTTGATGGTTCGAGGTGTTTCGTCGGAGGCGCTTTTCGCGGATTTTGTTTGCCAGATCTGATGGCAGTCTCAGCTGGTTCTGATCCGGGGTTTGAATAGACATTGGAACGGATGTTTCCTGTGCTCGGCTCAGTGGCCTGAATCGCAGTGACGTCCAAGCTTTGGCTGAAGGTACCGCGGATGTTTTGCATTTCTTCTGTTTTGGATCCTGGGTGCTCGACGGTCCGCTTGAAACAACGACTTGAGTCAAAGCAACGACTTGAGTACCGGGTTCCCTGGCAGTCATGCGCATATTATGGATAGATGCGTTGAGCCATACATCCGGAGAACATCCACAAATTCACCTTCCAACGACTTAAGGTGGATGCCTGGCAGACGGTTCAGGAGGTCTCAGTGCGGGAGCCCAGAGGGGTTGAAGAGAACGGATCTGCGCGCGGATGGGGGGGGGGTCTCCAGGTGTCGAAGTGGTCAGAGAGCTCACAAAGGACTCGCCAAGTCGATGGCCAAAACGTAAGGAGTTGGCGTTGCGTGTTCGAGTTTCTGACAATTCCGCCCAGACGACGCCGGCGATGTACAATCTCAGGGACTACGAAGACGAGGCGCGGACTTTCACCTGCAGAAAGTTGGAGAGCCCCCCCAAGAACCGTTCCCTTCCAGGAAATTTATTGTCAGAGTACGCCGTTTGTTTGAGAAACGGCCACAATTCGTATGCCCTCGGCATTCATGTTTACCCCTTGAAGAATCAGACAGGTGTGGGCAAGAGGTAAACACTTTAATTCATCGCAGCATGCAAACCAACTCAAGTGCCAAGTGAGCGACGGGAGGAATATCATTTTCAAAATGCTGAATTTGTTCTACAGAAGCGCCACAAAAGGTTCGCGGCAGGGGTTTATCATTTACGGAAGCTTTTTTCCTGCTCGTGCGGAAGCGAAAGCGAACTTCAAACCCATTTCTCAATCCGCGGAGGCGACACGGAAGCCATTCCCTCTTCAAAACCTCTCGCGGAAGGAACCTTTCATGCCGTGAAGCTCTGCAGAAGCCTTCGCAGAAGGGATTTGATATTCCTCTTCGGCCCCGCAACTGGGTTTAGAACACTGCTAAGCTCGGCCCAACTCAGGTTTTTACTTGCACTTGCGTGGACTTCAGCAAGTTGTCACCAATTTGCTTTTGCCGTGCAAGGTATTCTAAACGATGCTTGGCTGACACCGAGATCTGAAACTGGCCACAATAAAGTTGAAGGACACATTACCTTGACAACTGGGTGTTACTTTTTAGGGGACCACCAAAATTAAGTGGTTTCCCTTTGGTTTTCCTTTAGAACCAACCAAAGCGGGCCGCCCTCTCAAAAAACAACGCCCACTACCTAGCCTGCAACCTCGTCAGCGTGTGAAACTTTGCAGGCAGTGGAGGGCGACCCCATCGACGATGACGATGCGCCTGACTCAAAAGGGCACAGCGTTGTGGGAACGACGAAATCAACGCAATGGCGCTTGACTTCTTCGATTCATTTGATTCTGTCCGGATGTGTTATATTCGTGCCTTTCTTGTTCGAAGGATTGGGTGAGACGGGCAGTCAAGTCTATTCAATACCTCTCAAGGCAACTGGGGAGACTTCGCTCTCCTTCCAAGGCTTTCTACTCCAGTTGTGGCTACCCGTCGTTGGCGTTGTGATTTCACACCGTATGAATACTTCAATAAACCTCCAACCAACTGGTGCGAATTGGATCTTGTCCATTCGCAGGGCCCATTCCCGAGTCAGCAGGGACCACTTCCAAGAAAAGTCGCCAAACATGAAGGAGAGAGAGAGAGAAGCAACAAATGACAAATAAGTAATATGCATATGGGGACCCGGTTGTTTGGGTGAGCGTGGGCAACCGGGGCCCGACTGGGTCCCAGGTGCTGGGCTTAGTCCATGGCTTCTGCAGCCGCTCCGGCCTGTGAGAATGGGTTTGAGTGCACCCATTTTGGGGGTATTTTCTCTTTGGTGTCTTTTCAACCGGGGCGGCGGGTTGGGCTTTTGGCCGCTGTGACAACAGGGCTTGTTTGTGCTGCCACGAATGGCAGAAAGCCACACTTGTTTGAGTTTGCCAACTCGTGGTCCTTTCGCACACTGGGATCCGCAGCACTTGTTCAACCACTTTTGGCGATCTTTCCAAAGGGTTGAGCATGTTCGCCTGAAGGGAGCAGATACTAAAGATGGCTTCGTCTCCGGGGGTCGGTTCCCGACCCGAACTGGAAAGTCATGCCAGTGGCGCTTGGAGCAATCCATCAGGCAACTGCAAGAGCTGAAATAGTCAAGGTTTGGGTGCACACCACTGCAATGGCGCCCTCAACATATTCGACGATGTCAGCACAAGTTGGTTCTTTCGGCTTCCGTTGGACACACAAATAAACAAATATAGAAATACCACCTGACGAGTTCTACATCCTTAATTGGTGGATGCAGAACGTTGACCCAAGGGAGACCGGATTTACCGTTGGTGATCTTCAGCCATGGCATATTTAACCAAATGACTTTGACTGAGAAATGCGATTTCGACACATTATATGAGACGCAGACACAGGCCATCATATATATATATATATACACACATATTTTACATATAGATACACGTGTGTGTATATAGATAGATACATGTATGTAATATATATAGATAGATGCATGTATGTTATATATATATATATATTACATGATCAGTATTTGCCGAAATTTGGAGCTGGTCACCAACATCAAATCAGCCATTGAAATAGACCCAGGTGGTTGACGCTTTCCAACATGCCCGTTTTTCCGGATTTGTCTTGAAACTCCACCATGGCACATGCGGCGTGTGGCAACTCTTCAATTCCTGCGTAGTGAATGATAAGTTATGGACAAAGCAATCACAGCATTGTAAGATTCATGTAGCTACTCCAAGAAGGCTGTTTGTTCTTCCTATGAGGTCTTTCCGTCTGAAGGAGTTTGCAACACTGCACTGCTTCCAGGTATACATGTGTATGTTGTGTGTGTGTGTGGGGCTGTGTGTATATACTTTGGTGACCATGAAGAAAACGTGGTTTTACCATCACTACAACAAACATATATATATATATATACATATATATATATCACAATATATATATATATATATGTACACACTACACCACGCTTCTTTTTTGTTTTTCATTATGATCGTTTTATGGCATATATTAATTTCAGTTTGCATCTGTGTTTTCTAGCAATTTCTTAGTGGCTTGCCAATGGTTGAAAGTGGAAGATGTTTAGGGCCGCGCCAGGTGGCCAAGCCATGCGCGGGCCTTGGCATTTACGCCGTCGGAGGTCTGAAGCGGTCTGTGACTCTGGGAGGAATGGGTGTGTGCTTTTGAGGGTACCCTGGTTAAGGTTGGTTGAAATGGAAATGAAAGGGAAATGAAGGAACACCCACCACTTTAGGGGTGCCCCTACTTGACAAATACCCAAATACTGCCGGGCAAAGGCCAGGACCTCACCCAATGAGGATTCTGTTCTTGGGGATCCCTTCTAAGCCGGTGAAATGTTATCATTCAACCAGCTGGCAAGAGTGCGACTTCGCATGGCTCGAGTTGGATGGCACTTGCATGGCAGCTCGAGGGAGAAGCATCATCTCCTGGCGCCAGGCGCTGAGAAAGGGGCTTCAGGCGCTTAACGCCGTGCCATCAAAAGACTTGCTTGGCACATTGGGTCGGTACCGCTTTGGACTGCCTTGTAGGGATCGAAGGCAAGCTAATCAGTGTGAAAGGAGTTATCTACTCGTTGCTTCCTACACCATATCTAGAATCATAGGACAGCAATTGCAACGGCGGCCATTCAGTTCATCCACCTGTTATTGTATGTCAACGTTCTGCCGACGTGTTGACAAGCAATGATCCCATTCTGGAGCAGCTGTGTGAAATTACCCGAAGGGGTGGCGGTGTTTCGTGCTTTCCTGTCAGACGGCGACAGCACTGAGATGCCTCCTGGATTGTGGAGCAAAGCAGTTGTCAATGCCCGGCGTCCACGGCATCCATTTGTGTGGAGGGCACATCGCGTTGTTTTGGCTGCTAGTTGTCACTTCTCTGAAATCCTTAGAGAGGGTGGTGCTACAAGTGAATATTATTGTGCAGACAGAATGGTTTTGGGTTCCATTCTGTTTTAGGTGTGTTTGGCACTCTCTCTCCTTTCCGCATTCTCCTTTCCGCTCTTAGCCCTCTTCTTCTCTCCTCTCTCCTAGCTCCTCTCCTCTCTCTTTTCTCTTTTTCTTTCATTCTCTCTCTCTCTCTCTTTCTATATGTCTCTCCTTCTCTCTCTCTCTCTGTCTCTGGTTTCACACTCTGTTGATGGATTGACACATATATGGGCGCGAATGGAGTGGTTTCGGTCGGGAAGCTAGCGATGAGTGCGACTGCTTGCAATGCGTGAAGCCTTTGAGTTTGCCCGTGATCCGCGTGATCCCAGCTCGCGGGAGTCACCGGTCACCCCGGCGCCATTCCGAGGTTGGATCCCCAGAAGAAGAAGCATCTGAAGCAGCCCACCCAGCCGGGGCGCTTGGGAGCTCTTGACAAACAGGCTTGTGAACACGTGAAAATGCATTGCTTTTGTGTCGCTTTGCCCCAAAGTGTGACCCGGGCAAGTTGATGGTGCCAGGAGCAAAATCCGCCTTTGCCGAGCTTCCGGGAGGTCATGTCGGTGACAGTGTGTGTTTGTATGTGCTTAGTTGTACTGGGGTCTGTATTGGGAGTGCGTTTACTACGGGAGAGTAACAATGATCAGAACAACCGCAAAAATGAGGGGCACTGCGGTGAATCTTTTTCTTCAGACTTCAGACTGCCTCAGGGAGCGCCTTCTGTCTGTGGGCAAGGGCAAGGCGCGCTGGGGATTCACCCATGAATTGGCCCTTGCTGGCAATGTTCACACCATGCTTGGAATCCGCCTGGTCTTGGAAGACATGGTTTGGACTGTTGCAACTGGCTCACCTAGGGGCAAAACGAGCTTGCCTATGATGAAGGTTCCTTGGGAATTTTATGTTTTGCTGCCTGTGCCGTTCTTTCGGTGGGAAACAACGTCATGGTGACTTGCAAGTGGCCTGCTTTCAAGTCAGCTGATTTTGGATTCAGGCCACGCTTTTGACGGTCCTTTGCGAGGGAACTCACGGCAAGGTTTTCCGTGAGCCATACCAATGGAGAACTTCTACCGAGCCATGTTGATGGATTTAAACCATGCGTTCAGACATGACTTCCTGTTGCCATGCAAAGGCCTGATATCATATGCTTGAGAGCCCCGCCAAACGAGAATCATTGGCATCATGGCTACTGCGGCTGCAGCCTTTCGAGGTGTCTCCATGTCTCAGAGTGTGTGTGTGTGTGTCTCTCTGTACGTGTGCTGCTGCTTGTGTGGTATGGGCCGTTGCAGCCTGTGTTCGGAGCGGATTGAATGAGTGTGAACCTGTCGTCGAGATGTTCGGTGGCATCCTTCCTTCCCACTTTTTCCATTTCTGTGCGTATTCGAGCTGGCCAGCTTGGAGAAAGGAGGCCTCTTGTGTTCGCTCTTGAAAGGCATCGTCTTCGGTCAAGCCCAGCGAGGCAGGTTGCGTGGGGTTCGGTGCAGAAATTTCAGGGTGTTCTCAACAGAGCTGACCTTGATTGGGGAAGGACAGCATTCCCATCGAAGACTGACAGGTGTTTCCCAGATATTGGGTCCTGGAATGTCAGTTTCAAGCCATCATGTGATTGAGGCACCCCCCAATTCCGCCTTTGGTCAACAGCAAATTTGAGCGACCAGCCCTCCAGCGACTTCCTTGCTTGATGGGTGTGTACCGGCGCAATGTGGCACAAGCACACGAGTTTGTCGCTGCATAGCACATGAAGCAAGGGGCTCGCTGCGAACGTCACGGGGAAGCGCGTTGAAACAGGATCCCTTGGCTTGAAAACGGAGGACCTAAGCTGCCATTGCCAGGTCTTTGGGCTGTGGCTTTGTGACTTTGTGGCGTTCTGGCCGTAGATTTGTGGCCTTTGCGGCCATGGCACCATTGGCTTCTCGTTTGGCTTGAATGGATCCGAACCCAAAACAAAGCCAAACCTGCACCCACCCCAGATGCATCCTAAACCTTCAAGCGAAACCCAGCCAGTCTTTTCGGGCTGGCATTCAAGACTGCGAGCGGGCTGAGAGAACCACCAGAAGTACTGCGGAGAGATCTTGGAAGCTGAGAGTGGCAAGCGCACTCGATCGGCTTCAAGGGGTGAGGGAGCATTGTGTTGTCTCCGAATGAGGACCCCCTCCAAGTGCTTGCTTTCGCAAACGAAACATCTACGTGCACCGTGGTTTCCGGCTTCGAGAAGTTTCCTCGCTTGGTTGCCCATTGCCGCGGGTCAGACACGTCTACGATGTGTCAAAACTGGGGGCCCTTCAGTAGCACGCAGTCACTTTACATCTCCCCGATTTAGAAGATTCAACATCCTGGCCAGGCATCCTCAGCGAAACCGAAGCACTTGCAGCAGGCTGGTGTGCTGATTTTGATCAGGTGTTTTGGGCGCGTTTGCCCTGCTTCATGTTTGTTTTGAAATTGTTATAAACAATATTCAATCACCACTACGTGAACAAAAGGAATGTGGGCAGGGAGCACGGTTTTCCGCATGAAGCCAGCACGAAGTACCATTGGAACAGTTCTCAGAGCAGGCTTTGCCGTGTGGACCACAGAATGCACAAACAGGCACATGCCCACCCACAGAGTTTGGAGGCAGATGTCGTCGCTATCCTGATCTTCATTTCTTGGCTGGTTCTTACGAACATCACTGCCACAAAGCGAGCAACGGCACACACTCCCACTACACATGCCAACCGCAAATGTTGGCATCATGCGGGGGTTCCCAGCATCAGCAGTGGTGCTAGGCCCGCTTTCGTCGTATTTGGAGCAAACGTTACTACGTAGAGCTTCACTGAACGTGGGGCACCGCGTGCTACTCCCCAAGGTGTTTTTTGGTTCGCTTTTTGAAGATCTGGGATGGACAACTGTGCCACAGGTCCTTTTCCTTGGGACAGCGGGGTTGAGCAATGCTTGCTCTGCCCGTGGGAGCTGGTTTGTTCAGCCACATCGGATTCTGGCAATCCTGTGCATGATAGAGTTACTCCGAGTCTCAAGACGAAGGATAGAACTGGCACCCGAGTCATTTGCCGCAAAGAGGTTGCTTCAGTGAAGCCGAGTGAAGCCGAGCGAAGCCCATGGCAATTAACCGTCCGTGAAGCGCTTGCACAGGTGCTGGACCTCAGGCTGCCCCAGCTCTTTGAGGCGGTACCGCAAACAAGTTTCACTCAAGTATGCGAAGCAAAAACATATCTACCTATCTATGCAATAATGGCTTGATGCAATCAGACATATTTCTATGTATGCACTGAACTGTTTTCTCAGATGAAACTATGTTGGTAGATGGTTTGACTTGCAATGACACCGGATTTAGCTGCAACTTGATTCAGCTGGTGGCAAGGAAGCCCAGGAAATCGCGTCCAAATCTGCCCTCAAGGAAGCCTTTCGGTGCTACCAGGAATTCTGCCTAGGGACGTGGGACGTGGTTTGCCGCGTGATCTGAATTGTCTAGACTCCGGTATAGAGAACTTCACACCAACAAAGCCTGACTGAATAGGCGGGACAGAGTTGCAGTCTCAATGCCGCCTTCACCAACTTTTGTTCAGGAGTCCGTGCTCCCAAATAGGGCATGGTCCATGAAGGGTCACAGGCGGCACTGTTTGCGAAGGTCTCATCCTGTCACTCGCACAAATTCCGAGCGCGAACAACATATGTATATATCTATATCAGATTGCAAGAATCCACACCTTGAAATAATGTAGTCTGGCATCAACCCCCTTCCGCCCCCGTGTTGGGAATTGAACGCGTGTCTCCATTGCTGCCAAACTCTTGAATAGAGTTTGTCTGTGTACATTGCGGAAAGTACGTGCTACCTTGAAACACCATGATGTCAAGAGAATTTGGTATTTATGGAACTTGTGAGTTATATTCATGCTTTTTGGAGACCTTCCAGTGATTGATCGTGTTTTCTGTTCTTGCAATTGTCCATTTCGGACCACCAAACACAGGAAGCAAACAATCAAGAGCCATAGATTTGTTTCTAGTTTAATCCAGTTTTAGCTTGTTTCTGGCTTCTGGGTAGTGTGTATGTGTGTGTGAGCGAGCGCGTGTGTGTGTGTGCGCGCGCGCGTGTGCGTGTGTTTGTGTGTCTGCGTGTCTGCGTGTGTGTTTGTGTGTGTGTGTGTGTCGGTGTGTTTTGTGACACCTGTTCAACATGAGTCCACAGCAGACATGATTGTCTGACTGTGTTTAAGAACTATTGTGTTGTCTTCTTAATGCGGGCAACACGTTGCCTGCCCCAAACGTCAGCAATCCAGATACGAGGAGAAGCAAGCTGTGAATACAAAAATACTTAATATAGCAAAATAAGACAGATGCTCCCAAGTCGCCTCTCTATTTTGTGCTGTTTCACTGGCGCCTGCAGCCGTTTTCCTCGCGATCCACCTCGCATGGATGAACATCTCCCTCTTGTTTGAAGTTGGATGTGCCTCCTAAAGTGTTGTTCTGATGCAAGACCGAGCAAACAAGCCAGTGTTTTCTGGTCAGCATGGCGCATCCACCCTTCAAAACAAAATATGATCAGGTCCAGCCAGCCTTCCATCCCTGGTTTTTCACTCGCGGGAGTTGAACGAGACAAACAAACAAGAACTGCAACAAGATAGACATTGACATATAGCATACATTGTATGTATGTATATATATATGTATATATATATATATATCATATATTTGTATATGTAAATATATAAATGTATGTATATTTGGATATATATATATATAGATATGTAGCGAGACACAGAGAGAGAGAGAGAGATACACCTCTTTGGATCTCGGGGTGGGTGTCTTGCCTTCCAGCTTCACGCTCTCCGCGCTGCGTGCCAGGCGAAGCAGGATGTTGCGGTGCAGCTACGGGTTTGGGCGCCCGAGAGGGACACCGGGCAGAGTGGGAGCGTCTGAACAGGATTGAATCCGCAGAAAGAAACCTTCCTCAAGTCTTTGGGGTTCCTAGACTGCAAGCGTTCGTCTTATTTTGTGAGAGTGTTTAGAAGAGGATCAAGGCTGGTCATCAACACTCAAGGAGCTCGGGTCGTGAATGGTGCTCGAAGATGACTCCGGAATCCTGGGTTCGGCCAGCATCCAGGCTGATTGTCCCAGATCAATCTGGCCATCTAGATCATCTAGTCTGGCCATCTAGTGTGAATAGTTCATTGGAACAATCTCGTTTCGGAAGTCAACCCATAGCGAACCCAGCTCCATTTCAGCGCCATGAATCACTCCGGATGTCATCCCCTCACCTTCGGCTCCCGCAGGGGATTCCGAAGGTTTGGGGAAGACAAGAGCGGGCAGCCCCAAATTTTCACCCAATTTTCTCCATGAAACGAGGCACTTCGTCGGGGGCTCATGCCATGATTGTGAATGCACACTAAAAAGTGGTTGGTGGACATATTCGTTCATGTACACAATGTCCAAAGGGTCCCCAATCAGAATTTATGCTCGTGATTGTGAAAACTGGTGACCATATGTTGATAGTTGTGAAACGGAGACCAGAAGGAAAGACGTGGCGCGTCGTTCGTTTGGTTTCGCGGATTCAGGTGGACATGGATTTCATTGAGTCCGAGTACACAAGCAAAGCTGTGCCTCGGCTGTGGGTTCGGTTCCTCTGGTTTCAACCGGCTCCCTGGGTTGGTTTGGTTAGAAATTCAGATTTATGCCCCATTTACCAGGGCCATCTATTTTTCCAAAAGGTCACCTATGTTTGTGCGTTTTTCCCACATCCGCTATGCATCCACCTAGGTTGCCTCTATTCTAGTTTGGACACACACAAATGCCACGTGCTTCGGCTTATTGGTGATTCTTCAGCTTGATGGCCCACAGCCAAACGGAAATCGGATTGTTCCCAGGATGTGACAGAGAATAACATCAATCATGACAACATGACCCATGGAGTGTTGAATTTACATATATTATATTGAATAGGCAAATATTGTGCATTCCCTCCGCCAAGTTACAATGATTCAGCAGAATATGTTGCACCAGATACTTATGAGTCGAATAAGCAGCCATTGAATATTTTGAAGTGTTGCGTTTGCTGAGACACCACTGGAGTGCGTGTCATCCTTCGGTGCGCTTTTTGAAGCTCGTTGTCAGTCTTTAGCCAAATAGGACTGTTTTCAGACGGCAACTCATCGTGGCATGGTTCCATGCCGAACCCGTGCGTTGCTTATGGCCGTTGGCAAGTTGTCCAACAAACAAATGTTCCAAGGGCCATCGTGAAAGCTGCGACAAACGCCAAAACGTTCATAACCATCCGAAGGTGTACAGGAGCTGCATGTATTCGGTTTGGCCTTCAGACTTGAGAGCTATATTTTTGTTGGAACAAAAGGACGGCAATGGGAGAGATGGGGTCCCATGCTTCCCCAAGCTGAATTTGTCGCTTGCTGCCTCAGGATGTGTCTCTGGAGGCGTGACTCTCGCTGGGGGCACGGGAATCAACATTGGTTTGCGGATTCATACACATTTTTTTTTAATGAAAGCAACTTGTTCACATCAGAGGAAGGCACGGTATTGCAGAAAGTTGGGAGTTGAGCACCTTGTTCCCCTTTGTTGGCTCTTTAAGTACGAAGCCCCATTCTGTTGCCATGGCCAGGCACCCTGACAAGCCTTCCACGTCACTGGAGCAGTACGGTGTGATTTGGGCATGCTTGGACGAAGCCTTTGCACGTTTGTTACCAGGGCCCCGGGCCTGGTCCATTTTCGACAGGTCATGGGAAGGGGCGGCGGTCGGGTTTTCGCTGATGCAACGGGTGCACGGAGGATAACTTAGGAATACTGGCCACCATTCCTGAAAACACAGCAGCCCACTTGGTCGGTGGCCAGTGCATGCGCCACCATGTCCGTAGTACGGCAGACATGGTTGTTCCACATATGTATGGGTTGCTCACGATGATCTACAGACGCTCGAAGCTCTAGCATTCTTCAGGGTTGCTCTCGCTTTTGTCAAGAGCAGCCGCAGCAAGGCGACAGCGTTTGGCGGTGTCCGTTCACCAGAAGTCAACAACTAGCCAACATGTGTTAGTGTGTTCCGAGCAACCTGGACCTTGTCAGGATGGCTTCAAGTACGGCTACGTGGAAGTGGAGGGAGGCGGTCTTGTGGCGGAACCCAGAGGGCTCCGTTGCTATACCTCTCGGACGCTTCGGTCCAGCGATCTAATCGTCTCTGGCCCAAGGGCCCTCCGCGGATTGATCCCTATGAAGCAAGCAACAGATATGGCATCAGGTTGAACAAAGCAGATAACAAGTGCGCGGTGCGAGACGGAGTGTTTGTCCTTGCCTCACCCCACACAAGAGCAGGCAATCCCTTGCTCGGTCCATGTCGTGCCATTTGCCAAGGCACTCCATGTCTGGAAGGAGGGCTGCACGGGCCGCAAGGGATCGGCAGTCCCAATTTCGCGGATTTCTTTGTCAGAGCGCCCAAGCTGCAGGTCTGCGCGTCCACTTGGATAAGACTTGTCACATCTTGCGGAATCATGATCACTCTGAGCGGATAAGGTGTCACTGCTTACGGAAATGAAAATGTGACTACTTACGGAAATGAAGCCACTACACGCGGAAAAGTATAGGGGTAGGAAGCTCGTTCCTTTCTAAGGTTCCTTTCTAAGGCTCCTTTCTAAGGCTCCTTTCTAAGGCTCCTTTCGAAGGATAAGGCTCCTTTCTAAGGTTCCTTTCTAAGGCTCCTTTCGAAGGCTCCTTTCTAAGGCTCCTTTCTAAGGCTCCTTTCTAAGGCTCCTTTCTAAGGCTCCTTTCTAAGGCTCCTTTCGAAGGCTCCTTTCTAAGGCTCCTTTCTAAGGCTCCTTTCGAAGGCTCCTTTTTAAGGCACCTTTCTAAGGCTCCTTTCGAAGGCTCCTTTCTAAGGCTCCTTTCTAAGGCTCAAGCTCGAAAGCGGATCCCCAAGACAACCTTCATCACGGCCCCCCTTTTCAGGAGGGATTGGCCGGGGATCCGCTTTTCGAGCTGGAATGCCGGATTCCAGCTCGAAAAGCGGATCCCCAAGACAACCTTCATCACGGCCCCCTTCATAGGGATAGCCGGGGACCCGCTTTTCGAGCTGGAATGCCGGATTCCAGCTCGAAAAGAGCGGATCCCCAAGACCAACCACATCACGCGGCCCCCTTTTCAGGAGGATTGCCGGGGATACGCTTTTTCGAGCTGGAATGCCGGATTCCAGCTCGAAAAGCGGATCCCCAAGACAACCTTCATCACGGCCCCCCTTTTCGGGAGGGATTGGCTGGGGATCCGCTTTTCGAGCTGGAATGCCGGATTCCAGCTCGAAAAGCGGATCCCCAAGACAACCTTCATCACGAGCCATTCAAATCGCCGGTTCCACTTCCAAGTTGGCTCTGGGAAGCTCGAAAAGCGGATCCCCAAGACAAACCTTTCATCACGCCCCCTGTCAGGAGGATTGTCGGGGGATCCGCTTTTCGAGCTGGAATGCCGGATTCCAGCTCGAAAAGCGGATCCCCAAGACAACCTTCATCACGGCCCCCCTTTTCGGGAGGGATTGGCTGGGGATCCGCTTTTCGAGCTGGAATGCCGGATTCCAGCTCGAAAAGCGGATCCCCAAGACAACCTTCATCACGGCCCCCTTTTCAGGAGGGACTGGCCGGGGATCCGCTTTTCGAGCTGGAATGCCGGATTCCTGCTACGAAAGCGGATCCCAAGACAACCTTCATCACGGCCCCCTTTTCAGTAAGGGGACTGGCCGGGGGATCCGACTTTCGGAGCTTGGAATGAGCTTCGTCCAGCTCGAAAAGCGGAATCCGGCATTCCAGTCTCACGGCCACCGCTGGTGTTTCTGAGGAGGAGGGATTGGCCGGGGATCCGCTTTTCGAGCTGGAATGCCGGATTCCAGCTCGAAAAGCGGATCCCCAAGACAACCTTCATCACGGCCCCTTTTCAGGAGGGACTGGCCGGGGATCCGCTTTTCGAGCTGGAATGCCGGATTTTCCTGGAGCTCCAGCTCGAAAAGCGGATCCCCAAGACAACCTTCATCACGGCCCCCTTTTCAGGAGGGGTCCGCTTTTTCCGCAGAGACTGTGCTTTGTTTTTCCGCACATTTGGTTGTTTTTTTCCGCTCTGCGGGGTTCGCACGTTTTCCGCGCGCAGCGCCGAGCCTCTGAACCACTTGGATACCCATGATCTGGTGTGAGCGGATGATGTTGAAGGGCAGAAGCATATACTCAAGAAACACGAACATTTGTACACACTGGTTTTGTTCGACAAGGCCAATATATGGCATGAAACAGGAGATCGCTTGCTTGTCGAGGCCCCTTGTCGTTGCCCTTTGGGTCCGCACTTGCCAAACCATGTTTGCCTTGCAGGTGGGCATGTGTTGATTTGACTTGGGAAAAAGCAACCCCCATGCACTGGACGCCTGAAAGGATTAATTGGGTCTGGACAAGCCTAGCTAAGTTGTATTAAGGGACCCTTGCAATAAGTCGCCAACATGTCCAGGAGAGAGCCCTCGTGAGGCCATTGACCTTCTGACCATTGAATTGAACGGACTTCTGCGAAATTTCCGGAATCCTCAGCCCTTGCAGACCAGGCCCAGTGGACATCGCGCGTCCAGCGCAGCTTGTCTAAAAACCGTTCGCTTCGGAGGCTTCCCGAACGGCAACGCTAGGGAACACCGTGGATGGTGTTCAACGGGCACGAAAAACAGTGCCCACTTTTTACCTGACTCTCCGAAAGAGTTGCATTTGTCTCCGACTAACCCCCCAAAAAGGTATCCTCAGGTCCGCTAACTCACCCACCAGTGGCCAACACATTGGTTTTCTTTGGCTTTCCGTTTATGCAATTCTTTGGGTAGCCTCAAAACACGCAGTGGTGCCCCCCAAACCCTCAAACCCCCATGAGGGGTAGCCTCCAAAAACCAATCAAAGATAGAGGGTTTGGTTTCCTCCAGTTTCCTTCGGTTTCCTTTGGATGCATTTACCAGTTCAGCCAGGACCAGCAGCTGGAGCCCAAAGTCAAGCTCTTGGCCCTGAGGCCATTCGATCGGGATACTGGCTTCGGTTCCCTGAGTTTCAAGGAGTCAGAGTCGGACCCTTTGAAGGTGTTAGTCAGGAAGCCAAAACGAAGGTGTTGCCGTGTTAGGAAACGGACCGTAGCAAGACCCTGGCTCATTACCTCACACCTCACATAAACAATAATCGTGCACCTAATCGTTCTGGTTGCATGCCCTTACCCCGATGCGTAGACTCGTGGTGGCTTCCCATGGTGCCAGAGCTGCTGGACATACCTGCGAAGAGTCAACCTGCAGAGAGCTTGCCATTCGGACGAAAGTTGGAACAGGCAGCTAGGAGGGGCTGGAAGAAACAATGAGAAGGCCCGTCTTTGCAGAGGATGTACAAGCTGCCGAACTTCCAATTGAAAGTCGAATGTGCTAAGAGCCATGCCTGAGGATGCCTCCAACGTTCGGTCCTTTCACCTGCGACAACGGCAAACATCGATGCTCAAGCTGTAAAGACTTACTTCGGTCCACCATGCTTCGAACTCATATCCTCGATTTGCCCCGCCCTGGCCAGGATGATACCAGCTCATCAGTGGGCCCGCTTTCCTTCAATGCCAAATGGATGGAAGCAACAGGCTGCACGAAGCTCTACCCATCCGCGTCCTCTCGTGAACGAAATTTCCAAGGGTCAGATTTCTGTCAATACCTCGCTACATGCCTCCGCTGTGCAGTCGCTACGTACCTCGTTAGATGCCCAACCACAGCCCGGGTCAATTTCTTTGTTGCCGTTGCCTGCCTTGCTTTGAATCTGAGTGAACAGTTGCAACTTTCGAGCTGGAACTGCGGAGGCGCGCTTCGCGTAGATGGACCTGCGGAGATGCACTTTTCTGTTCTCCGCCGCGTTGTGCTACTAGTACTTGTCAGGAGAGCCCGTTTCTACGCAACAAGGACCCCCAGAACACACCTGAGCAACGCGTCGCGCGTTGCATAGCGTCAAAAAGCATGGCCAGTTTGAGAAAGCACCCATATATACCCTGCTTGTTGTTTAGACATCACGGTGTTAGCCAATTCTTGGCAAGTTTTTGTTGGGCGACATTTGAGCGGGAAATGAAGGGAAGCCGCGCCAATGCGTTGGATGCGGATGGGGAGAATGAAGCCAAGGAATGCATTTCAGCTAGCAAACCAAGCTGGGATTTAAGCACTGTAAATGTGAACAGTAGGTGGGGTGGGAGTTGAGAGAGTGTGGGTGGGGATGACTCTGCCTCATGGTTCGAAATGTATACTGGGGCATCCTGGGCTTTGCCGAATTTCAGCATGTGCTGTTCATTGGAAGCGCTGAGGTGTTAACCCAGGACCTTCGAACGAGTGGGTTGGTAGCTCTGTTTGGCGGATGTGACTGAACAGTGATCCGCTGCTTCAGAAGACAACCAAAGTGGACATGGTTCCATTCAGCTGGGACGGGAATGGGATAAAGATAGCATTCCCCACGAATTACATCATGCTTATTTGCCCCGAAGACGCCTCACATTTATGGCTTATGCTGATTCTGGCTCAATGATCCTCATCCTTTCGGGTTTTTGCGAATGGCTTTGGCCAAGCTTTGATTCTACCTCATCTATCCACTTGGTCTTGTTGCTTCATGTGCGATCACTTGAACCGCGGCTACACTTGGCCTGCGGAAAGCTGCCAGGGGCAAACATCAGTTCAGCGTGGCAGCGGCTTCAGCAGGCACTGGTGCCAGTGGCCATAACGCCTCCGGGAACAGGGTGTGCGTGTATGTTTAAAGAAGGGTATGAAGAGGGCCTTAGTCAATTCGCATTTGCTGTTGATTCCATTGATAAGGAGAAGAGCAGCGAGAATTTAATTATGTCAGTCATGAAATGTCATGAATATTGACCATGGCAGTCGAGTTGATCATAGAAGTTCGAGCTTGGTGGAAGGCATCGCTCATCCGAATGTTCCGTCTGCAAGGCGAACATTCCCAGGGTCAAGCCTTTAGATCGAAGTTTCCCAGGCAAACAACCACATGCCCATGTCTGATCATTGGCCTGGGCTTGCGATTTGGCTTTCCTGTCTTTCTACGCTCACCTATTCTGAACATATTGACACTGTAGTCGAGCAAGCGTGGCTTCATTATCATGGTTTAATGCAAAGACAATAGGCGGCAAACAAACGCAAGTGCGTGCTGCCCAGGCATGGCGAAGGCTTTGTGCTGGGCATCATTCTAGGACAATGTGCACCTACACTGTTTGTTGGTGGGATTGTGTATGGCTTATGAGGGACGTGATACAAGACATACAACCAGATGAACAGTCAATATTTGTCTAGTGGTTCCACTCCGTCTTTGTACAGGCAATCAGGCTTCAGGTGGCCTGACGTGCTTGAACCGCCGACTTATGGGAGCAAGTACTTTGGCAAAGTCGGCGGATTTCAGTTGGTCTGAGGGAATAGCCTCAGGGGTAAAGGGATGTGACGAGTTGCCCGGGTCGAGTTCTTTGTGTTTGTTGAAGGTAAGAATTCTCTTTGGGGTGGCTTACTGGGAAAGGGTTCGGGGATTTCCATGTTTGGAGAACCCTGAGAACCCTCTTTGTGATTCTTTGACATTTCTTGGTGGTTTCGGGCTGTTGGGCTGATCCATTTGCCATCCGCCAGCCTCCGACTTTGCGGCCTTGCACCAGAGCAATGCGGGGCACTACACCTTGATGCAAGAGTCCAGGGGCAGCTTCGGCCGAATTTGAGAAATCTGGCGAGGTTCGTTGGCCGGTTGGGGTTTGAGTATTGATTTGTCTTGCTCACAAGCCTTGACGGAAGGATTGATTGTTCTGTGCTTGCGGCTTGAATAGGTTTGATCCCCATAGTACAATCGCGTGCTGGTGTTTTAGGCAAGCTTGCATTGACAACAGCAACTCCTGTGTTTTTTCCATGCGAGGTTCCCTGGAAGCTTGGTTCCCAGGTCGCAACACCAAGTTTCTCAGACGGCCATGATCCACACTTATGGCACTTGCTGTTGCATCCACGAAACATGGCGTAGGTAACCTACCATATCACACTGGTGGCTGATCTCCTCCGAACTGTCCTGGGTACATTCAAGCTGGAAGGGTTAATCTGAAGCAAGTGCACTCCTTGATGATGGGGCTCTCTTCTAGACATGATGCTTATCAAGTGCGATGTGCGTCCGTTTTTTTGTGCACAGCTCATGAATTGGAGATTCCTTTCCACTTTGGCTGCATGCAAGGTGTGAAGCATCCTTTGATTCATTTTGAGGTCGGCCAGACACTCAGACCTGCGTGCTGCAATGCGTGTGAAAATAGCAGTTGATCCACCGCTTCAGTTGTCAAACAAGTGACTGGGATGATGAACCAATGGCCAGGATTCTGCAAGCCATTTTCTGCGCAAGGGGCCAGTAATCAGGTTTTGCTGGGTTGAATTGCCTGCGGAAAGTCAGCATGAGTCTGCACAGTGATCAGTGCTGTGGTGTGAATCCGGAAATTATTGCCCTTGTCAAAGCTGGCCTGAAAAGAGCTGATTTTATTCAAGCCGGTGAATCCCACTGACCACAGTAGCATTGACCAAGTATCACTCGTAACAGGTCACTTGCGCACCTCACCACTGAATAAAATCATTTGAACCCCATTGAAAGTTGCAGAATGTGCATCCACGTACTTAGACGTGGCTGAAAGTTTTGCTAGGGAAGCCCCTCAAGAGTGATTGGTGGACAGAACTCCCTTTTCAAATGATGCCGAAGCCAGAATTTTGGAGCTCCCAAAATGGCGTCCTTTCGGTTTTCCATGGAAACAGCCCCAAACAGCAAAACAGCCACGGAGCTGCTGCCTGCAGATCCTGCAGCCTTCCGGCGAGAGCGCCGCATTGTGGCCTACGCCTTCGTCACGGCCGGGGAAAGTCGTCCGAAAGGCCTCTTTGCACTTCCATGGAAGGGAATCCAACAGGTCCCTGAGGCTGCGGAGTCCCCTTTCGGGGAGACTTCAGCTGGATTTTCTGGAGAATCCAGCATTCTTAACACGGCCGACTCTTTTTGAGGCTCTTGCGGGAGTCTTGTGGGGAGGATGTGAAAAATCAGATGATATCATCCAACCCATGTTGAAAAGGCCCAGGCGCGCATGGGGTCCATTGTCACCCCTCATGACCTTGATGTTCCGGAAAGAAAGAATAGATGGGCAAGAGTTGACACTAAGGACCTTGTTGGTGGCATGAAAAGGAATTCACAACACCAGCCACTTGGACAACCCCCCACTTTGGCATACTTCCACATACTCTGACCTTGACCCACTGGCAAAGTGACAGGGTGAAAGGGGATGCGAAACTTGAGACGGCTTGCCAGGATCCGAGCACGCAGAAGCGGCACATCAAGCAGGACTTGCAACTGGCGGAGGCCAGCATTTGGAAGTGTTTGGTCGATTTAAACCAACTCAAGTCATGATAAGAGCCAACTGCGCGCAATTATTTAGCCCCGTTGACCTAGTGCATCTTTGTATGTATCAATATCTATATCGATAGAACACAGGACATGATATGACGGTGTATGATACAAAGTTTTTTTGGTTTTACTATACTCTATTCTAATTGTCACATTATATTGTATCATATCATATTGTATCACATGTTGTTTCAAACTATTGTTATATTACATTCACACAATTTTATAGCATGTCGCGTTATGTTTTGTACATTATATTACATGAATACATGAATTTATTTCATATCATACAATATTGTATGCGAGATAGATTGGGACAAGCTTTACCACATTGTATACTTTACACTATGTATTACATAGTACACCTCATAGATATATTATCCAATATGTATATGTATATATGTGCATATACGTATATTTGAGGACGTCATTCTGTATAGGTTTGCTCAGTGTCACTTTTTTTTCATTGTCCTGACTGCAGCGACATCTTCTTTCAGTACACACGATTCTGCCTCCTGCACCTTGTCGCACGTGTGCGTATCTTGAATCGTCTCAAGTTTAAACCCTTTAGTCTGCGGAACGTCTCTTCTCGGACTAACACACTGCTGATGCTGGAGGAGTCGAGTGTCGACCACTTGAAAGTCAACTGAGCGGCAATCAAAAATCCAATGAAGAAACTTAGTCGTGGGGTGCCACAATGGGATTCCGCCGAAGGATTTGTTTAGGGCGCGGAAGCTTGCGGAAGCTTTTGCGGAGCACATTGCAAGCTTTGTTGCTGCGGAAGCCCGCGGAAGCTAGCTTCACAGATGGCAAGCAAAATGAACATTTTGTTTGGCTCAAGCAAATTGTTTTGTTTTGTTTTCAATTTGTTTGGGCCAAACAAAACGTTCTTATTGCGCCCCACACCAATAAACTAGACACTAAAACCAAACCAGGGAAGAATCGAACCCTAAATAGGCACTGTGGAATGGAACTACGTCCGCACCACACGGAGTCACTCTGGCCCTCTGACCAAGACCGAAAGGAGCGCTAGCCTCACATTTCCCATTCTCCTTTGTGAAGTCGAACAAATTCTTTGTTGTTCTTGCCCCGACCCTGACTGCGCCAAAAGCAAGCCAACAAAAAACAGAGAATTTAGAACAAGTTGTTTGGCCCAAACAATGTTTTCCGGCCTGACTCTGGCTGGCAAGCAAAATGAAGAATGAACACAATTTATTTGGCTCTGTTTTGCCAATGCAGCTTCTTGGCCCAGATAACGATTTACTCGGATCAAGCAAATCGCCCGGGAGAAAAAGCAATCCAAACTGTATTTTGGCTCCTTTTTGCATTTGGTTAGCTGTGCAGAACAAAGGTGACTTGGAGGAACGCCTGGATCTCCAGCGCGGAAACGACAGGCTTTCAGCAAATCGCGCGGGAACGCGCAAACCCCAGCAAAGCCTAACAGAAATCCCACAGACAATGCGCGGAAGCTGCGGGATCAAAGTGCTGCGGAAGCAAACACCGCCGCGGAAGCCAGCGGATGCGCGGACACCAGTCCCACAGTATTTATTTTACTTGTTGTCCTTTTATTTTTGGTCACAGCTCTAGCAGAGACCATCAAAAACAGCACGAATGAGCCATGCCGGGCTCGCAAAGTGCAATTTCATACTACCACGTATCATATAGCATATATAGATCCACATGCGTGCAATTGTCTATATATTATGGGACTATGTATGTCATATGTTGTATGTATGTACATAGTTGTGTAGGTATGTGTGTATATATGTCATATGGTATATTATGCAACATATACATCATATATGTATTGCATAGATAATGCATTATGCTATACACAACGCATTATAATGTATTATGTATATTATATGTATATACATGTATGGTTTGCAATGTTATGTTACGGTGTGTCACCATGTTACACCATATCATATCGTATCATATCATGTTGTACCATATTATAACATATCATATGCCATATTGTTATGTATGACAACACATTGTATTATGTTACTCCATATTGTGTCGTTATGTATACCACATTAAAGTTACATTAACACATTGAGCTAGACTATATTACATGTTGTCAGTATTTTAGTACATGGCATACATATGTACATATTTCCACGTTATATGCATTATGTCTTCGAAACTATACACGATGGTCATGTAATTCTGCAGACTCAGGATAGACTGTGACAATGTCAGGTTCACAGTTGAGAGGGTGCGGGTACAGCTGATGGAAGGCATCGCTACATTACTTGATACTTGAATGTGGGGCTCGCATGTTCCAAGTTGGAGCCATGCAACTGAATCGGATGCTTGACAATGCTTCGCAGGTCTCCTTTGCAGCACAACTGTGTTCTTTGCTTGTTTGGGGGAATGTTTCTTTGCCAAGCTGCACTGTGGAAGTTTGGGCCCGTGGAAAATCAAGTTGCATTTGTGCGCTCGGCGTTGTTTCATGTCGGGCTGCCCTCTGGAGGAAGTGCCTTCGTGGATTTTCTTCATACTGAGAAGTGACACTCAGAGAATCGACAGAGTTGGCTTGATGACTCTTAAACAGATCGCGATTCGTGGGAGGCATATCCGTAGGGGTCAAAATTGAGCTGCGAGGGGACCGCAGGCTGTAGTCCTTGATTCCATTTGCCAGGGCTCCGTTTTGAGTACCCATTTTTTGACCCACAACCATATCGACTCTCCCTTCAAGCTTGAATTTACATGGGTGGTTAAAAGGCAGCCCCTTGACATCCCAGCAATTTCTTATGGCTCAAGAACTCTCGAGCGCGCAGAAACCGCAAGGCTGGAAAAGACTTCATCAGCTGGGGCCGCAGAAATGGCAAACGTGAAACTATAGCCACCTGTGAGATGCAGATATTTCTGAAGCAATACTCACCCGATGTTCTTACATGTTGAACTTGTGACATTCATATTTGTATGAACTGGGAACTTGTTTCAACCATAACCGTTAGTAAACAGCTGAAGGGATGCTGTAGGATGCCAGGAGTTTCATGCTTCGGCGTGGGTCACTGCTAAAGGGGATTTCTGCACCGCCATTGAGCTAGCTTCACATGAGATCTGGTTCTGCATCGACTGGAGTGAAAACAGCCTCCAAAGCCTAGGCTGTGGCAGTTTCTGCACTGTGAGGTGTTAAGTGCCACGGAATGCCGGGATGTGCTGAATTGGTGCTTCAAGATAGGTGCTGGATATGAGACGCAGACATAATGCACCTAGTTAGGGCAACATCGCAACATCGAGAAACATGGTCCTGCGATGTGACTCCTTTGTAATTGTCATCCACTGAGGTGTTTGGTTTGGGCATACTCTTGAAAGTTGCTCGGCGTCCAGCCGAAGAAATGTAGCTATCCCAGCTAGATCGCAATGGGATGAAGTAGGCACCCCCCCGCGAAATGAGTATGAACCCTGCTAGGCTTTGTCTATGTGTGTGCCGTTGTTTTGTTGGACTCTCGTAGGCCTAGGATGTTGTTCGTGAATTTTGAATAATGACCTTTGAGGGGACAGGTAGCACCACAGGAAGGGTCATTTGCCAGTTGTTCAGTCAGTGGCACCCTGTGTCCCTCTTTGTGCAGTGGGCCCTACGAGACATGATTGGAAACACACACGCACACACACACACACACACCATTTATGCCACAGTCGAAGCTTGGTATGGTACAGTCCCAACCAGAAACAGGTGCGGTTTTCTTTTCAGCTGAAAGCTTTGGGGTCTCAGCCCAGATAGGCTCCGGGGCGGTCCGTGGCGGCTCTGAGGTGAGGTTCCGCAGGGTCCGCAAGGGTTTTGCAGGGTTCCGTGAGGGTTCTCTCAAGGTTCAGCAGCCGCATGCTGTTGGGGATATCACCTGAGCTTATTCGTGACACGGTTAAACAGGGTGGACCCATTTTCCCCGACCCAAGCTGACAGGCTCCTATCGGGAAGGAAGGAAATCCATCCCATGGCAGCCATAGGCGGGGCCTGGAAGTTCCGCGCCATGCCCGCCGTGGACGCCCATGGCTCAGACACGAGACAAAACGTGAGCCCAGAGTTCCCGAATGGCGACCTATCCATCCCCCAGAGCTTGGCTCCGGAGAACTAGCTGAGGGCTTTCGTGAAATTGGACAGCTGGCGTTGCCAGCATCATCAGTGTTCCTTGTGGGCTGACATCCTGAGCAGCACCGGGCAGAAGGTCAGTTTCAGCTTATGGACAATTGTTTGTGGACGGCCCTCGCACAAATTGGTTTAAGATGCCCCCCAAGCATGCTCCTTAGTCCAATCATTTTGTTCAGAACCGTTGCGATGGTAAAGCATCATAGAAGCCTGGTCTTGACAAGCGGTCACGATATTCGGCCTTCTGAAAACCCATTTTTTGGGGGAGGTCCCGTGTCTTTGGGGGAAATTGGATTGCAGCTTTCTGGGGGATTGCTCCTGATCAGCATGCATGTCAGCGCCGGAAAGCTGACTCAATGCTTCGCTGCTGCCTGTGCTGCTGCCATCCGTCGCCTGACCAAGTGCTATGTCCAAGGTGCGTGCTCGAACCTACTGCTCTTAAGTGCTGTTTTTGGGCAACTGAATGGATGAGTATCCAACAGTCCTTCATATGTTTCTGGGCAAACCTGAGTGCTGAATCCGCTTCTGACTTTGTAGATTCATGTGTGCACATAGTACTGACGTCGTAGTCTGTACTATCTGCGTTTATGTACACGTTCAGAATGCAGCCGCCACAAAACGTGTTGATCTCCCCTGCTGGTCCCATTTTGGTGGGAAAGTGCTTGATTTTTGGCAAAAACTGCAAGGAAATAAGGGTTTTGGGTCCAAAAAAAGGCTTCTAGACTCTAGCGTTTAGCAGGGCTCGCTAAAGCTCGCCCTGCCTTAAAAATACAAATCTTCCCAACTAGTGGACCCAAAGCCATTTTCAGGACGCGTTGACCAGGAGCAGTTTTAGAAGCTCTCGTCAACGGTCTTTGGCCAAGGCTGTGCTGATGTTTTCCTGCATGCTGACCATTGCCAGGGCCTCAGAGCTTACCTGCTACGTCAGAGACGCAACGCAAGCAAATATCCTGCAGTTGTTGTCCCTGTTCATATTCCCTCCTCATATGAGCAGTGAGAGAGCTGCTCAAATGCTTTGCTCAGGCATTGCCCAGCTTTATGTACCTTTGCAGGGTGAGCATGTCAAGAAAGAAATGTGTTTGGATTGGCGGCCGCCATTCCTTGAACTTACGCATCACCATGTTCTTCCTTGACAGGGCCAGATTTGTGCAGTCAGCGGGCCTCCTGTCCATTGAAATACCAACGCATAGAACAATCAAACGACTGTGCTTCCAATGCGTCGACTCTGCACTGCAGGCAGTCTATCACTACTGATGGCACCGGGGGAATACATCCGCTCAAGCGCAAACGCGCTTACCACCGGCACGCATGGCTTTGCCTTTCCTGACCAGTTTCGATATTCCAATGGAATGAACGCAATGCGGGATGAAGATGGTAGCCACCCATTTTGCTCGAGATGTGGTTCAGTCTTCAAGCAGGCACACTGAGCGTGAGGAGTTTGGCCTCGGCACTGGCCTACACCGTCATTTATGGACCTTGTGTTTCTATTTTTGTGAGGGTCAATACGATGCATACTGTGGTGGTTGTCAAGCTCGGTCTTGCGATGCTGATGCAAACACGCAGGCGGTTGATTGAGACGCTTACAGTCCTAGGATGTCCACGTACTTTACCATGACATATTCATTCCAGCCGACAAGTGTTCTTTGTGTGCCGCGCCGTAACAACGTGATAATGCCAATGGAAGAAGTTCGGAACAAGTGTGAAATACTGCCTTGCCAAGCGCAATGCGCGCGAGTAGCGACTTGAACCTTCTAGAAATGTTTCACCTAGCAAGGCAGGGCCAAATCAGGCTGCAGTGCAATGCTACAGAAAGCTAATTGTCGGTTGAGCCATTTGCAGGGCAGTGTCCACTAGTCGCAACTGTTTGCACAATGCCCGATCAGCTACCCGTTGCCTTTGTTGAATCCATGATGTCACTTGATATCCTGCCAGAACTTCTGAGATGGTTGTGATTACCATGGGGCTAAGGCTATCCAAGGCAATCCTTTGGCTTCGCTTGAATCACAGCCTGTCATCCAGATTCGGCCCTGCACGCACCCGAAGTGTTCACAAAGCCTGGCACTTCATGTCTGGCATTCAGCATGCCTGGATCTCTGTCAAGATTTGGTTGCAGCACTTGGGGCCTGAACTTGCATTTCAGAGCCCCTCGACCAGTCTGACAGATGCAAATTGCACCGGTCCGGCCAGTCCCCGACAGGGGAGAGGTTTCCGGAGAAAGCTCCATGTGGCCAATGAGCTGCGGAAATGGCAGCGGAAACAAAGAAACAACGACAACAAAACCTTGCTGATGAGCCTGATGAATTGTTTTGGCCCGTTAGCTTCTAGCCGACAAGTGTTTGATTCAATCCGGGTGTTACATCTTCGTCTAATTTTGGGGTCAAAGCCAGGCTTGTGATGATTCCACCTGTCAAGGTACTGCGAGGAGGACAGCTTGAAACTGCTTCTACGGCGGTTGTCCCATCTGGCGGAAAGGCTTGGCTTGGCATTTGGTTGCTGAATGGCTTCCACGACTGGACCCGCTGCCCTGCCAACGGAGAGAAACCTGTGAGATAAGGGTGCGGCTCGCTAGACAATTCTTGCATTTCAGATTCTTGTCAAAATCAAGGCCCCTTGTTGGCATTCCTATTAAGAGGTGGCACAAGGCGGGTCTAAAACGGGTCCATGTTTGTTGCAACTCTCCAGATCATCGGTTCATTTGCTCAGGGAGACGCTGAACTTTGTCGTCTATGGCTTGAAAAAGGCCTGGAGACGCATGATTTCCGGCATATTGCAAGTGCACCAGGATAATGTTTTTCTGGTTGGCTTACTGGCATTTTCTTGGGTAGCGCATCCATTGTGTCCAAAGCATCGAGATTGCAATCAGCCAGTTGCTTCGGAAAAGCAGAGTGAGGACTTATTGATTGTGGGATTCATTTCCGCAAAACTTTTTTTATTCAGTTTTTCTCGGACAAGGCCGGGGGGGATGGGGGGGTAAACGATCGCTTAACCTGTGCAAACACAAAGGCGTGCAGCGAGGGTCAAAGCTAGCGGCCTTCCTTCACAGATTGAAATTGGCCGCCAACTCTGCTTGAAGTTTGGGAAGTAATGTGGTCGCATGTTTGGTGTGTGAACAGATGGCGGTGCCGTTTGTGGGCTGGAACCTGGATCTGCTGTTGGAGGCTGGAGAGAGGTCTTGGCTTCTTGTCTTGGCGAGCCGGTACGGAGCTGTTGGTATTTAAAGCTGCATTTGAAGAGGGATCTAAGGGCTACCAGGAGTTCTGTAAGGACACGTGTTTCCTGGGAGTGCTCCTTGCGGGAACAGCACCTTGGAAGAATGCGTCCTTGTATCCAAAGCAAGGGGCCCTTCGCTAACGTCCAAGTATGGGGTAACCGTTGTCTTGGATGCTCTGATGTCAGTGAGTCGTGGTTTCAGGATACGCTGACATGCACTGGGCACTGAGTGCTCCCGCCATGGGATGAAACAGCGCACAGTTGTTTCTCAATCTTTGTGTCTTCAGTCTGAGCAGTAAAAGCCGCGATATGAAAGCTGCTTTGTCTTGAGGAACCTAGACTTACTTGGGAGCGTTTTTGAGGGGACCCCTAAGAAATGGTTCTTCTTTCAGCTTGCCAGGGTACATCCAATGCATCCACGGGTTTTGCCTCTCAGGTGGGTGAGGTGATTCTGCACGCCCTGCCGGCAGGACCGTGTGGCCCTGTTGTCAAGAATTTGGCCGGTTCCTTTTGCACGGTGCTTCCCAAGGTGCCTTCCTTTGGGAGTACCAAAAGGGGCCCCTTGTGTTTAAAGGCGCTGTGCCGGTTTCCGCCAAGTTGTTGGCTCCAATAAGCCTCGGCCACATCGAGGCGAACCAGCGTCGGGCAACGGCTTAAGCAGACACCATCGCCTTTCAAAAGGAAACTAACATATTTTTTCAACAACAATGATGACGCGGGGGCGGCATACCTGTCGCCATGGTGCTCCCACGTCGAAAGCACGGCAGAGGCCTGACCTCGGTGAGACCTTCCTACCCCTTGGATGGTATTGGCAAAGGTTTAGTAACCCTGTAAAAATTGTGGGGTGGTCGTGCAGGGGGGGAAGGCGGAGGTTGTAGGGTCCCCAAGAATTGGGGGTGCAAGGGACCATCGTTTTCAGAGAATTTACCCTACGCAAGACCACCCACCCCCTGGGTTTCATGTTGTCCACATGTTCCCTGTGTTCTAGAGCGGCGTGTCAAAAAGCATTGGAGTTTGTCTCTCCCGATTCATATGTGTGTTTCTGGATGGCTGGAGTCAGATGCTGCCCTCCGTAAGGGATTGGCCCTGATTTTGCAGTCACACCCTTGTGAGACATCGGCGCAAGAAGTGCGTGTTGGTGATGTTTCCTTCCACCAGTGGCTGTATTATTTCTTGCCAATCAGTGAATCCGTTAGTTCCAGTAAGCGACCGTGCCCTTAGCCTTCTTACTTGCAACCTTCTCTTAAATCCACAGCAGCTTTGCTGTGATTCATAAGAGCCTTTTTGCATAGAGTATGCAGGCCTGATGTGGTGCAGCTGAGAGCGAGAGAGAAAGCACGGCTTGCTTTTTCATTTGTTTTTGGGCATGTCTGTGCCGGGCTGCTCAGACCAGTGGTCACCTGGTAGAAAAGGGGCAGGGTAGTGCGCTTGGTGCTTATCCCAGTGGGGCAGTTGACAGGTTTTACTCGGCTGCTGCCTTTGAGGGACAGGGTCAAAGCTGGCGAATGCGCCTTGCTTGGACAGGCCAATCAGGGGACAAGACTCTGCGTCCGGTGCTCGGATTGTTGTCACTCCGTTTGAAGAGGAAGTTAGACGAGAGCGGCTCCGAATTGATGCAGGCAGCTGGTGTCCTTTTGCCTGTTTGCAACGACTTTGCCATCAAATTCAGGCCATCCTTGTGTTGCCTTGCGCAGACCCCCGAGGTACTGAACGTTTGACGTTGGCCCACGTCGATGTTTCTTGACATGGTTGAGAGCTCAAAGTTAATTAGAGAGCTTGTTGGCCGCCGCTGCACAAACGGACTGGTGTCCTTGGGACTCTTGCCCTCCAGTTGGCCAGCGGTCATGAGGAACATTAGGGCTGGTTTGTGGGAGATTCAGATCGCGGTGCATATAGCCACGACCTATAAAACGTGTGAGATTTCTGCTTTCATTCACATTTTGTATCGGTTAGCTGGAAGAGCATGCCAGCCAGTTCCATTACATGCTCACTGCGAGCTTCAGCTAGCCAAGAGGTGATCATTCTGCAAAACAACACTACATATATTGGGTAGTGGCCTTGCAGAACTCAGCACTGAAGACCCGGGATGGAAGCCTCTAAGCTTGGGTGATCTTGGGTGATTCTTGGTTCAAGCTTGTGTTTTTTTTCGTCATTCCATCATTTACCCGCACCACTTGGCGGTCCTCGACTTTCCACTTTGGGCAGATCACACCCGGGCAGACCACTTGGCCACTCTGAGAGATGCGATCGAATTCGCAGCTTTCGGCTGTTGGACAGTCCATGCCCGGTTGGAGCCATGGATTCCGAGTTCAATTCGAGGCGCGGTTGAGCGGACCTTGCCACCCTCAAACCCAGACCGCCCCAAAGTCAGAAGCTGGGCCGACTTGCCGGGTTCGGAACCAGTCAAGCATGGGAGATGGAACCACCTCAGCTGCTGGAGAATCCGGTGTTGCCCCGTGCTTTTGCATGGCCCCTTGAGAAAACCTGGGGGTACCAAAGGGGATTGGGAAACCTTACCGCCAACACGGCATGTTGCCGCGCTCAAGGAGCAGAGTCATTCGAGCGAAGCTACCTGACAGATAAGTTTGTATTCACAATACTGGAGCAAAGATGTGCAAATGACCAAGTTCTCAACGCAGGCTTAATTACACATGTGGATTAGTGTATACAATATATCAAGTGCATTGCTTTTGATATGTCTTGTATTAGAGTTTTACTACTATTGTATCGAATTAAATTGATATCTGTCTTTTGTGTTTGCTAATAATTGTTTGGTACAGATTGGAACTGTTCGGAAATTGGTCCCTTTCCATTTTCCGATTGTTTTCAAGCCTCGCGTGTCCCATTCATTTTGCAGCTGCAGAAATGTGCAGGGCTTACGAGCACCTCTTCCAGTCGCTGCCGGACCTCGGCCAAGAGGCACCACCACTAGGTCCACAGCCATTGTCCTGGGAGCATGACACTGCCACCAGCATATGTCTCGCCGCCTGGCGGCAGTTTGGGCGGTTTTGGCCCCAATAGGGAATATGGGTCCGTCTTTTTTGAGGGAACCCCTTTTTGGTGGTTGGCAAAGGGGAACCAAAAGTTAGCCACCGTTTTGGGGGTCCACCAAAATTACACCCATTTTAACCGGATTGTCCGATGCGATGCTATGATACTGGCTGGCGCAGAGAGGGTTTTATAACGCCACTTGTCCGGCTCAAATTGTTTTGGTCTTCGTGAGACTGGGCAGTCGAAAGTAAATGGAAAGGGCTTGCAGGGAGGAGTCCGTGCTGGCAGATCAACAGCCTTGTGGCAGAAGAGCCCTTTGCCCAGCCGCTTGTGGCCCCATGTTGCAAGGCAGGCTCAACTGCCCTTGGTTCAATGCTTTGGTCATATTTTGCCAAGGTACCTGACAGTTCTGCAACTGTAATCCTAGCTCAAGGTAGGCGCGTAACCAACATTTACCAGTGCCATAGATGTCCTTTTTGGGTTAGTTTGGATAGAAATAGATGGCCCTGGTTGGTCTGGTTGTTTCATTGTCAACCAGGGCGCATCTATTTTCCCAAAAGAACACCTGCTAGGGCATTGGTTTTCGTGTTTCTCAGAGTCGCGAACCGCCAAGGTGGCAATTCTGTCCCTGACAGCCGCCGCCAACCTGATCTTTTTCATGCCACGCGCTGTTTCCGCGCGTGAGGCGCGCGGTCGGTTGGCGGACACGGAAGAGATGGTTGGTTCAAGTGGAAAGCCAAAAGCACCATTGAAGGGACAAAGGCCAGGATTTGTACATGTCACCTCCATGAAGGAAATGCCGATGCACCAATCTGCTCAAAGATCTCTGAAAATCCAAGTTCACTTTGCGCTGTGGAGAAGGACACTCTCATTCTCTCAAACTGGACAATGGCTGGCATGAGTCAAACTAGATCCCGTTGGTTGGGTTGTTCACTTGCAGAGACCGTTGCAGTCTCTGGAAGGCCTCGTCACGGCTTGCATTTGTTGCTGCCTGGCAAACAGGCAACGACAAGCCTGCCTACTTTCTCGGATGTTCAAAGTCACCTTTCGCGCCAAACAGGGGCTGAACGGGACAGCCGGGACCGCGCTGAACGGGGCGACTGCGGCGAGCGGGTTGATGAAGGGTCGAGTGGACACCTTGGCGCTCACGGGGCTCCGGGGCTTTGCAGCGCTGTTCCTTGGAGTTGGAAATCTTTCGGGTGGTTTCCTTCTGCTTTCTTTGAGAAAGCCCCAGAACGGGTACCCTTTAAACACAGGGGTCCATGTGTACACTATCCGGCCATCTCGTTCCTCAAGCTCCTTAAGCCGGATAGTAGTGGTTTTCCTTGTTGTAGTGGTGCCTCACGATGGATTGCGGATTGGGCTTGAGGATCCCTGATCCCAATTTTGAACAAGTGTTTGGGCTTTGCGGCTGTCCCTGAATGTCGCTTTGTGTTCATCATTGGAAGCCACCGTTTTGAAGCTCTCGAAGAAAACTCCAGTGAAGGGACCATTGGTACTTAGCGGCGGGTGATACAACAAATCTTTGGACATGGTTGTGGTCCAGCCTAGTTTCCAATTTGGTTCCCATATTAGATATCAATAAGATGCAACAGTAGTGTTAGTATAAAGCAAGGCTTTTTGTGAGCATGGGGATCACGTGCGTTTGATCAGACATTTGTGTGATACCGACCATCCCTATGATACGTTGTCACTCAAAGCGGATTCCCTTCGTATCACAGAACTTGAGCCAGAATCCCATTTTTATGAACCTTCCTACTGGGTTTTGAAAACATGTTAGGTCTTTATCTGGAATCGAGCGCTGTCGACACTTTCCCCAGATGGTTTAGATTGCACCTGCACCAGCACATGGGAAAAGTCAGACTTCAGACTTCTTGAAACTCACTTGCCCCACAAAGCCAACGGTCCCCTTTTGGTCCATTGTGAGTCATGGCCCCAGAACGTGAGAAAAGGTGCAGACCACCCGACCTCAACTTACGGATGGATCCGAGGCACGTGGCCGTGGGCCACTACGCCTCCGCATCCCCGCTGCATGTTGACCTCATTGGAGGTGCCTCAATGAGCCGCTTGGCTTTGCCCTGATGGCCGGCCTCCGTGTGGCCTATCGATCACTATTTGCATCAGCATATGTCCTGTGCAATCATGAACGCTGTTGTTGGGTGTAAATTTGTGGGGCGACCAAAAGCTGCAGACTACAAGCTAAAGGGAACTTGGTGATACATGCCGAGACTTGCGATGTTGCAATGTTGTCCATGTTCGGTACTGACACCGGTTGTTGCTGCGTGCAGGGCTCATTGCTTGAGTCAGCTTGTGGTTGTGCATGCTTGGAGTGACAGGACGCATATTCTATTGCTGCTTCAGTTCTACTTTGTTTCAGATCCACCTTGGGAGGCCATTGTGAGATAGATATAAATCTATAGTCCCCCCCGCGCGGCCGGCCCCTTCACCAAGGTTTCTTCTACCTCCTCTCTGGCTTTGTGATGACTCTGGGCTATGCCAAAGATTTGCTAGCAGTGGCTTGGCATCACATGTTGCGACGCATAGGTTTTGTTCGCTCTCGGCCTGGTGCTCCTCATCCACCGGCCAGCAGGTCCAGCTAGGAGATTGACTCGGGCCCGTGAGAACAACGCTTCGGGTTTTGCTCCTGCCAGCTGTTGCGCTTTTCACCGGGCAAGTGATTTGCAAAGGGGGGACAACTCCAGCACTTATTTTTGTTCAGGGCGAAATTGCTGGCCTGCAAACTGCCTTCCGTTCTGCGTTTTTTTATTTCTTCCCTTCTCCCTTTCTTCCGTTCGTTATGTCTTTCTTGCTTCCTTCCTGTTTACGGTATTTCTGTCTGTTTTTCTTTCCCGCTTTCTTTTGTCAACTTATGTAGTGGTGTTGTTGCATTATGTTATTATTTGTGTGTGCATTCATTATGTAATGACGTGTTCTTTGTTTGTTGTTGTTCTTTCTTTCTTGTTGTGTCTCTTAGCTTAGTTTCTTGTGCGATGCTGCCCACACTCTTGAGTCATACGGCGTGGAACGTCAGGCTTAGAGATCATTCAAAGGTTTCTGGCCGAATGCATTCTCAGTGGGCAATGCATTGGGATACGCCCAGCCGCATTGAAAATGGTGAGTCTCAGCACAATGCGATGGTCTTTTGTGAGAGGTATTGGTGCGCAGGAATGCGTGTGAAATTCAACTACGTAATTGAAGATAGCGACATTCCAGCCATGCATCAGCTGGTTCAACTCAGGAACAGCGTTTCTTTCAGAGCTTGTGCACAAGACTTGAGGTTGCAGGGATTCTATTATTCGCGCAGGATGACAGCAGCAACTTTAGGGATTTCAACAAGAAGCGCTTCTGGCGCAACCGCTTTGCGAGGCCGAGGGCTGGTGGTCGAAATTCGGGGTGTTTCAGGACTCTATGCATGCAGACCACAGTACCATGACAGCAAAGCATCCGTCAATTGAAAGAGATCGTGTTCCATGTCAAGGGCCCTTCGTTTTCAGTGGCATCCGTCGGATGATGGAATCTCTGGCCTGTTCTATTCGTTCTATTCGTTGGTTATTTGCGTCGTCGACTGATTCTCTTTTGTTTTTCCTTTTTCTCGGATCTACGACGACGAACCATCCCAGACATGGGCAACACCGCTACTCAATCAAGTCATTGTTGCTGTCAAGACACTATTTGTTTTGCCATGTGATCTCTTGTTTGTTGCCGTTGTCCTTTTGTCCTCAGTACAAAGAGGTGCTACATGTTTTTGTCAGACAAGGGCTCCCTGGATATCCCTCATGTTCCACCGACCCTCCAGCTGCAAAGCGAATTGTCAACTCGGAGGGCGCACATTTCCAAACTCAGTTCGCATAAATGACCGCAAAAGGTGGGTTGCTACAATTCAAAGGTGCGACAGATGTGCCGGAGTGACAGAATACAAAGATGATGTCATGTTGAGATTTTATGATCAGATTTGCGGCAGTTTCTAAGGCATGTCATAGGCTTTGGAGCCCAAAGCTTTTGACGCAGATGTCGTTCAAGCGTGTTCTTCGTCAAGTTTGTGTTGGGATTTTGATGTGTTCGCTGTTGGGCAGGACAAGGAGCAAAGCCAGCTTTCCGAAAGCTAGAGTTATTGCACTCTGCCGTTGCCTCGCCGGGACTTGGGAAGCAAATGCACACAGGGCGAATGGGACACATTCGCCTGTGTTTTGATGAATTATTGACCCTCGGCAGCCAGATGAGGAAGCGACCCTGCTCTTTTTCTCAATCTTTTAGATGGTGTAGCCCGGGATCCACTTGCTCAATCATCCACTTCCTCCGCATGGCATGTTCCAAATCAGAATCCTCGAATCAGAGTCCTCGAATCCGCCAGCCTCACCCGAGGGCAGGTATCCCACTCTTCTCCGGGGAGCTTTCAGCCACTGCACCCTTTTCAAGACCTGTATTGCTTCCCTGTGCCATTTGAGACGGCTCCACAACACGGGGACCATGATTTTGATTGCTTGTTTGCTTTGTGAGACTGTGACAACAAATAAAATTGTCGGATTCCTAGCATGTAGGTGTCCTCGTCGTAGGGGACACTCTGTGTAAACAAAGATATGTTGTTCTTTTGGTTTCCTTTCAGAACTCCAAGCGAATCCGATTTCTTGGACACCTGACAGCCTGTGCTGTCCACAGGCTTCATGGAAGCGATGGCCTCTGGGATTCGGGGGATTCGGGATCATTTGCCTCGTGCGTTTCGGGATCAAGCTGCTTCGAACCCGTTGAGTTCCTCGAAAGTTTGCCAGGCTCTTCCCCATGTACATGTTGACCAATGTCGCCATTTTCCTGGTAATGCACTACCTTGGGGCTGCTGGCCAGCAGCTGGCAGGTTGAGGGTAGAATCGGTAGAAGACTCCACAGTAAATCGTTCTGCGTCGCTCTGGTGGTTGAACACTTGGCGAGCTTGGCGTTTGCTCATCATGCATGACAATGCAAGCATGCTTGCATGTTGATATATCCTGAAAAGCTGTTCAGGACTGTTGCAGTGCCCAGTCTTCATGAGTTGGCAGAAATGCAGACGGGATCTGGCAATGAACATGCGTTTGCGTGTGGCATTTGAATGGCTGGACAACTTCTTCACCCTTCGAATAGAGTCATGATATAACGAAAGCTAGCCTTAGGAAGTTTCTCCTTGCGTAAGCAAGGTAAGGGTCTGAAATGCCGAAAGATTCATTTATCAAATATTTGAGCCGTAAAGATTGCAAGAATCAATGACTTAGCCCCCCCCTTCCCAGGCTCGAATACCCCCTGGCCCCCCCCCTTCAAGCCGTGCGCAACATGCAGAACCCAGGGGTGCTTTTAGACAGCTTGACACACCTCTCGTTATTTTTTATTTTTCACGTCGGTTTGCGTGTAGCCTCTTGAGGATCTTTACGGCGCATGGAACCTTTTCTGTTCCGGACCCGTCTCATACAACCGTTGCTCGCTTTCGTTCACCCTCGCTCAAGTACAGGCGAAACCTGGTCCGATACCTTCATATCAGAACTGCAGAGCCGTGTGCAACAGCTCAACATCACGTGCTCCTTGGATGTTGACCTCTTGCTCAGGACAACGCAATGGAGGGGATGTCCTCCGGGAAATTCGACATGAACCTGGTGTTCACAATCCTGGGCCTCAACATGTGGATCTACCCGCTGGATGCCCGGCGCTTAGCTAAAAAAGGCTTCTTGGGGTACAGGGTCAGCTCAATGTGTATCATGGTATTGACAACGTCGCGCTTGAGTTTAATGAATCGGTATTTCATGCCATTTGTCGAAGCACTTAGCAACTCACCGGCCACAACCAACACCGCTTTCTGAAGTAGGTGTTCCCTCAGCAGCCATAAAAGGGGATGGAGCGCAAAGCACGCTACCGGACTTCGTTTGGATCTCGTTCGGACCTCGGTCAAGCTGCGCAGCAAAGATATTTGAATGTATGGCCATTGTGCAGTGCTTGCGAATGCATTTGTTCAGCTGTCGCTGAATGTCTTGCGCGCCCATCCGTAAACGCAATCATTCCCAATTGGCTGCTGTTGGCACCACATGCATCTCTCACTTTTGGTCTGCAAGTGCCCATGTTCTCCTTGAACCGACGTGCTGGCTTGCGACGATTTCCATTGCATCAGCTCGACTCAAACTTTCGTGATCCCATGGCACACCAGCATTTGTGCAGTTTCAGTTGGCCCCGCGATCATTGGTTTGGAACCACAAGTGCAGCCTTTGCCAAGAAATGCAAACTGAGGAGAGGACCTAGGCGCTTCTAAAGTTGTTTGGGGGAGCCGCGGAGGGCAATTGCGCCAATTTGCAGGTCTGCCGAATTCATCGCCAATTAGCAAAACAACTGCGGAGGGGAAGGGTGGGGGGGGTTGAGTGTATTCGGATGTCTCTTGTGTCCAAAACTGCTCGTTTTACTTCAAAACGATACAAAGTTAATAAGAAACAATGATACAATGTTTGTGGGAAGCAGCGGGCTTGCTAACCGGCAAAAAAACATAGCTTGTTGGATAGCAGGGGGCTATACTTGTAAGCTGAACAACAATGACAACAATGACAACAAAACAACAATGGAAACGATAACACTACTCGCGGAAATTGCTCTTTGTGCGCATTTTCTAGTTCGAGCTGGAGCTACCAAAGTGTACTTCGTGTCTTACGCTAGTACTAAAAAGTTGCCATCTTCAAGCTGAGCTGTCAAAGTGTATTTTGCTTTCCGCCGTTGTACTAAACGGGTGCGATTTGCGGGGTGAAAAAAACAGGTCATCTAAAACAACGAGGGAACATACAACCTGGTTTGAGGAATGAGCGATCTTGCCAATCTAGAGATAAGACAGCTTTTTACGTAGCGGCTTGCAGTGACAGTATGCTATCCATGTCGTAGAAAATCCCTCTGGGACCCTCAACGCACAATATGTCCAATGTGTTCAGCCCTTTCCATGCTGTTTGCAGGGCATATTTCTTTCTCCCAAACGTCTTTGGCGACAGGCCTGGCTGCCGCAGACCCAGCAGATCGAGCTGCCCAGCAACTTGGTCACCTGGACAGTGCCGTGGCATCGCATGCGCGTCGCACGTTGCACACGGCCGTGTGGTGTCGCCTGGCTGGGTTTATGACCATGATACTTGAGATATTGTTTCTTTGGCTTATGAATGAGATCGGATGCATGATAGATGTGATAGACATGCTTAGAGCGTCATCTCGCAGAAACATGTTGGTCATTGTGGTGCGAAGGACATCATCATGGTTTCAAGGCATTTTCACCGTGACAAGGGAATTTCTTCATACATATTGATAGCAATTCACTTGACCCGCCACTGACAGACCATGCCGCTTTCTACAGCATGGTTGTTTTGATCTGGGAATTCCTGGGCCACTGAGTTGCTGTTGCAAGTGGTGCCAAGGCAGGCATGGTTAGGGACCATCCTTTCCTCCCCGTTTGGGCTTGCGAACAAACAAGGACACCACCCATTTGGAGGGGCTCCTTGTCGACACCGCGCATGGGTTTTAGGAATGTCGCCCATCCATTTTGCAGAAGGAATTTCCAAGGCATGAACAGAGGGCTCAGCAAACATCGAACACAGACTGTGCGCCGCGCTGCTTTGGTTTACACATGTTTGCAGCTATTCTTTACGCTTCCTGCCTTTCTTGCCGGATTTTGTTTGCTGCTGAGTGTCCCCAGGCTGTGACAGCTAGTTTGTGTGTTTCTGCTTTCATTATTGTACCATGCTGGATCCATGCTTGTGTTCCGCTTTGTTCGGTTTTTTTTGGTGTCTCTGTTGTCTTCTGTTCTCCGCCTGGTGCTTTGGCCTTGTCTCAACTCCCGTCCCTGGTCTGAATGCATCCTGTATTCTCCCGTGTTAGCTTGCCAGTATTTGCTAGCCGGGCAGGTGCTTTCTTTCCAGGCTGTTCTTGGGTGGGTCCAGCCTATCTAGAGACTGACACATTGACTTCTTTCATGTTCATGAGAACTTTGCTGATATTCGTCAAAGAACCGAGGATTCTTGTTCGGAATCGAGTACGCTGCTATATCTCTTGTAGCTGCTATTGATTCTTGGTCACATATTGCCGGCGATTACACCATTCTCAGCAAGCTGCGCAAAGCTGAGCGGAGTCCACGCAAACCAGCAGTTTCCGCTTGTCCAGAGCATTCACCAACCCTGAATTTCCCTGTAGCCAGGTTGCAGTTCGCCTTTAAAAGAGAGTTGGCAGAAATACTAGCCATGAATTGACGAGTGTTGCCTTTCTGAAGGAGGCACGGAATGGTTCGCGGTGCCGAACGAAACTGAGGTGCAGACCATGGCAGTCTTCTATCTGATCTTCCCCAGCGGCTGGGTTAACAGGGGATGGCGGTGAGACTGTCACATATGTTTGAGTATGGGTGGTTCCAGAGCAATGGTAAGGTCGCCGATGGTCAGGGGGTCCCCTTCCTCAGAAACACCCCCGTGCTTCTGCCCGCATGCCTGATTTGTGAGTTGCAGCTGTCATTATCTTGCGAAGGGGAGCGGCACATCACGACACCTAGGCGTGCTGGCAGGGGCTGTGTAGGCTTTTAGCTTCATAGTTAGGGGGCTAGCCTCACGCAAGTTCTGATTCAATCACTGTTGGGGCGGGGAGGGGGGATATCAAAGTGCTGAACCGCACGAACTGATCCTTGCTTTGGGCAGCTCTCCAGCCGCCCCCTCTGACGTATGCGACATCAATGCAGGGGCCAAAATATTCATAAATGACCCGGAGTGAGAAGTTGGCACATCGCCCTTTTATACGGAAGTGACAACATCTTCGTGCTAGTGGCTGCGTGGCTGACAAAGCCAAACTCGAGGCTCTTTGGTCGTGAGAGTTTGCCACGGATAGCGGGCGGAATGCTGTGGTGCCACGCTTTCACCAGCTAGTTGACAGTCATTTGCGAGAAAGAAGAAGGGGCACGATGAGGACTTGATCTATAATTGTTTGATATCCTTCCTCGCAGCGTGCTCTCATTCCGAGTGCTGCGGGCCCAATTCCAAGGAAGCCATGTCTCCCAACTTGCAACCAAAGCCCAACACTCAGCCCTGACCCTAAAAGGGATGCCCTTCGGACTTCCTTCTGTGGCTTTTCCGCCGTCGGCAAGTTAGCTTAGGCATGCTGCCCTGGCTCAAAGCTGTGCGGCGGCGCAAGCTGACGGTCCATTTGCTGTTCTGGCTACAGGCTACGACCTTCATGGCCATTGCAGCCCGTCCGCACTGGTGGTGTTTCCGGAAGTTTATTGGATCCCACTAGGAACATGACATTCTTGTCGCATGACTCCATGTGCGAATCCCACGTCCAGAGGGTGTTTGACATTCGGCACATTCAAATAGCTCTGTTGACAAAGTGAGTTCCTCTTGCGAACAGCTCCAGGGTTACCGCTAGGTGTTTTCCTTTGGATCAATAACAAGTCGCACCATGTTCTGTGTGTCTTCCTCCCGAATCTTGCAAGCACAACAAACCAACTTTCATTGTTTGACTTTACCTTGAAGGTATTGCACAAACACAGCTTATATCTATGTTGCTTCTTGGAAATGCTTCTTCTGATTTGGTTTCTCTTTGTTGCCATCTGTTTGTGGTTTGAGGTCGACCAACTCAAACCAAAACACCACCATTGAGTTCTCTTCTTCTTCTTCTTCGTTCTTTCTAAGTTGTTCCAGCCCCCAAGCTTCCCCCCTCTCCGGAAGAAATCAGCCAAAAAGGAGCCATCCATGCTCTTGCCGAGGTGTGTTTGGGGCTGTTTGGGATCGACAACTTCAACTGGGCCTATTGGACGGCGAGGGCCTGGCCTCTGAGCCGCGTGCCCGTCTTCGCCATGGGCTGCCTGGCCGCGGTGGAGCGCCTCCATGGCGGAGGCGGGCGCTCCATTTGTTGAGCCCAACCTCCCCCCAAACAAAAAATGGACCAAACCTGGGCATTTTGTTGGAGAACGTATAATACAATGAAATACTGGGAAATACTATGTACACATATTATGCATGTTTTTTCAGGTTAGCCTTCGCAAGGTTGGTTCAAAGCAGAATCAGATCGGAAACCGCCATCTTGGCATCACACATTTTGACGCATAATGACCGTTGCGGGTGGTTTGTAAGGCACATGTAAGAAAACACCCGCTCGACCACCACCACCACCACCACACCAGGAAAGTCTAGTGGACCCATCCAGTTTTGACACATTCCCTTTGGGTGGGCTTCCTCGGCTTCCTTGCAACGTCCCTTTCAAACCATCCACGAGGTGTGCCATTTGGTCATCTGGCCGTGTGTCGAAATTTATTGGATCCAAGGTTGGCGTTGATTCAAGAAACATGGCTTATTTCAACACACAATTGAAGACCAAATGGCAGCAGTTTCCCATTGCTTCCCATTTCAACACCCGTCTCTCACAGAGTCCCCAGGCTTTAGACACAGCATGGGGCAAAAGGAATGCTTAGACATCACATCATAAACAGCAAGGGCACCCGACTACCATTTGTGTACTCTGGCGGAACCTTCTCGCCCGAAAAAAAACACATTGGTTTGCAGTTTCGAAGCAACCTTAGGGCATATGAACTGTTTCTTGATTTCAGGACGGTGTTACTGAAGAAGAGCAACATAAAACTGTTGCCATAGGAAGGGGTCGTCATGATATACAGCTCAATGGCGTTCTTTCTTTCTTTTTTTTCGCCCGTGGCGGGAGGTTTTCGCCTTTTCCAGCAGTAGTCATGCAATATGCAAGATCACAATATGTTTGTATGCATGTCGTCCATTCAAACCCACTACATCAAGGTCACTTTGAGAATGGTGAAATTTGGCAGCCAGTGTCCCGACTGTTTGGCTGCTAACTTGGCGGGTGCTTTGTCAAACGGTGTCACGGATGTACTCTCCTCGTCAACCATGTTATTGTTTGTTTGTTTGTTTTGTTTCTTTGTTTGCTTGCTTGCTTGCTCGCTTGCTTGCTTGCTTGCTTCTTGACTTGGACAAGACATTTGGTGCGAGGGCTGACCAGCTAATCCAGCCACCCTGTTGGGATCATTTTCAACTTGGCGCTGCAATGCTTTGCTTTTTGTATTGCACAAGACTCTTGTCAAAAGTATATGGCACCGCTGGGCACGCACCCCTTTTAGGCCACGGGCGTTTTTTTCACGAGCTTTTTTCACGCACGTGTGCGGCGCGGAGACGCGGCGAGGCAACTTCACACCCTTCTGCTGCCGTGGTGATGCGCAAGCTGGAGACTATGGACGACGGGCCACCATACTTGGATTCAGCCGCTGAGACGAATGGCGGCTTCAACACTTTTTGGGCTTCCAGCATGACTCCCTTTCAGGTTTGTGCCATGCATTTAGAAACGCCGCAACTTACAGGAACCAGTCGGTGAAAGAGGATCTCAGAAGAAAAGGCGGATGGATGCTCTTGTGAAGGGTTGTGCCCTAGAAGATCTAAGGGACGATGCCGCACAGGTGCTTGGATTTCTCAATATATGGGTGTTCTAGACACGCATGCCTTTACAAAGGGCTTCAGGGGCCTCTTGATGGTTTGCTGGCAGTTTTTCGTGCAAGGCCATGTTTAGGAGGCCTATACAGAGAAGGCAAACCTTGGAAGAGGATGCACGGATTGGGTTCTGGGATATTCGCAGCTGGTCAAAGAATCAGTCTAACACAGGCTACATCCTGCTGCTGGCGCTGGCCGTCGGTATCAATCAGGCGGGAATCAGATTGATTTCACCCTGTGTTGATGAGGTAAAAGAAGGCAACAAAGCCGTAGAAATTGCTAAGTGGGTTTGAGCACCGAATGTGTTTGTCTTGTTTGAAGCAAGTTTGCTGCTTTGGCGGCCTGATGCAGTGGGCCAATTTTTGGACCACTCCCAGAGGTCACAATTTACGGAGGCTCATTTTTATGTTCCTGGGAAAGGCAGCAATTGTGGCAATCAGCTTTCCCAATCAGTAGTGAGTGTTGCAAGTTTGATCTCCTTGTGATGGCTGGCCAGGCACGGATTGGCGCATGGGTTCGCTTGAAGGACTTACATCAAGCACAGATTATGCTGAACATCTCAGCGGCTGTGGTCGCAACCTCGAAATCTGACAGATTGCGCTTGCCTTGGCAACTCCCGCAGCCCAATCAAGCAAAATTCACTCTTTTTGGGGCATCAAGAGACAGCCTGCTCATAGGATACATTTAGGTTGCCCTACCTTGGCCAGGTGCCCCTCACAGACCGCTACTGGATGTCCGTTCGGGAAGCCATGGTCCGTTCTTCGTGGGAGGCTCGTGCCCGTAGTCCAGGGTTGTTTGTTTGCAGATGAGCATTGAGTCAAGCTGTGTTCGTGCCAGCTGCTTCGATCTGTCCATTGTTTGCCTGGTTGAAACATGTGCTCAAATAGCGATGAACAAATGTGTTCCGAAATGATGTAAACACAGCAGATTGCAATCCTGGTCATTGAGAGGCTTCACGCGATGACCGTCATGCCCACCTTCCCACCAACCCACCCACCCATGCACCCATCCACTCACCCCCACACCCGCCCGCCCGCCCGCCCGCCCGCCCGCCCGCCCGCCCACCCACCCACCCACCCACAAAACTGCAACAACAAGCCAAGCAAACCAACACACAGGCAAGCAAACAAACAGGCAAGCAAACAAACAAACAAACAAGCAAACAACCAAGTAAACCTGCAAGCAAACTAACAAGCCAACAAGGGAAGCAGGGAAGCAAGCAAGCCAGCAAGCAAGCAGGCAGGCAGGCAGGCAAGCAAGCAAGCAAGCAAGCAACGAAACTTGAGCTGCATCCAAGTAAACACACAAACAATCAAACAAGCAAACACACCTGCAAACAAGCAAAGAAGCAAACAAAGAAACAAGCAAACACTCAAACAAAAAGGCGAACAAGCAAACAGGCAAACAGGCGAGCAAACAGGCAAACAAAGAAACACTCACTCACTCAATCGATCACTCAATCACTCAAGCAATCAATCACTCAATCAATCAATCAAGCAAGCAAGCAATCAATCAACCAATCAATCAGTCAAACAACAATAAAGAGCTAAACCAAACCAAGCGATACCATGCAAACAAGCAAACAATCAATCAAACAAGTAAGCAAACAAACACTCGCTCTCGCCCACACGCACACACACACACACCACAAGCAAGCAAGCAACCAAACTTGAGCTGCATCCAACAAGCACAGACGAGCAAGCAAGCACACAAACAATCAAACAAGCAAACACACCTGCAAACAAGCAAAGAAGCAAACAAAGAAACAAGCAAACACTCAAACAAACAAGCAAACAAGCAAACAGGCAAACAGGCGAGCAAACAGGCAAACAAAGAAACACTCACTCACTCAATCGATCACTCAATCACTCAAACAATCAATCAACCAATCAATCAATCAATCAATCAATCAAGCAATCAATCAATCAATCAATCAATCAGTCAAACAACAATAGCGAGCTAAACCAAGCCAAGCGATACCATTCAAACAAGCAAACAATCAATCAAACAAGCAAGCAGACAAACACACGCTCGCGCCCACACGCACACACACACACACACCACACACACACACACACACGCACGCAAACACCCAAGTGCAAACACCCAAATGTATGTAATGCTGATGTGCTTTTGAACGGGCATGTAGGCAGTTTACAAGTACTGTGGTCCTGACATTGTTGATCTTTACCTTGTCGCCTTTGGGATGTGAAGGCAGAATGGCAGAAACGTGCTTCTGCTGCAGAAGCAACAAGGACGCTCTTCTGTCATAGTTTTGTCAAGTGTTGCTTGTGACTGCCGGTGGAATTCCCAAGATGCGCAGCCATCCTGCTTCTTACGCTGTGTGTTCGTCATGATCTAGCTCACTTCATCCGGCCGTCACGGAAGGCTTTTGTTCCGCTGCTATTCATTGACCTGATACTGCTGCTTGGCTGCGATTTGCCACTGGCATTGGCATTGATTTCGCTTTGCATTGATAGTTTCTTGAGCGGTTGAGTGAGGGGGAGAGGAAAGGGCAGAGGGAGGGAGACGGGGGGAATGGAGATTAGCAGCGAAATACAGACACCTCGGAGCATTTGTCCAACAAGAACTCACCTCTTCCCAGGGCATTGACGCATTGTGGCGACAGTGGCATCCTCGCGCGCGCCTGCCGCAGCAAACCGATGGAGTGGATGGGACACTCGGATTAAGGTCTTGGGCAGCGCAATGTGTCTTTAATTTGGTGTCAACAGAATCTGTGGCTATCAACCCAGTCAGTCAGTCTACAGTCAGTCTACAGTCAGAATTGGCCACACAGCTCCTTTGCTGTCTAGTGTTACCTTGGCCACGACTGTACCGGAGAATACTGGGACTCGGGGGAATATAGGATCCAGTGATTAAACTGGGGTCGCGCCTGTTGGACCGTGAGAGTCGGAGCCCGGAAAATCCTATATGTACTGATTTATGTGTAAACATTGTATTTCTACACACATGTATATGCATTCATAGAAAAAGAAAGAAACACAAGAAAATAAAGGGGAAACAAACGGGATTGCGATTTGAAAGCCTCTTCAACAAACATGACTGAATGTTGGTGTAACCACCAAGCGCGTGGACAAATCCAGCGTTGCGTGCCCCACAACATTTGACACACATGCATTTCTGTATGTGCCACTCTTTTGGGGTCATTTGGAGGCCGTTTGATTCTGAAAGGCATCAAGAGCTGTAAATCGCTAAGCTCGAGACCAAGAGCACACCTCGGTCCATTCCAACTTCAGCTTTGAGCCCTGGGGTTTCTCTCCGAAGGATCTTTGTCCTTAGCTTTGCTCCTGGTTTTGGGCCTAGAGCTTGGAAGCGCCTGGCTCAACCATTGGACCCCAAAATACTGGCACATAATGTGCCTTTTTCAAAAGACGCAGGGCTCCAGGCGCTGCATTTGTCCGTGCTTTCGGGGTGCAGGGCCCCCATTCAGGCCCCATTCCGTGTTGCGTTTTGAGGCATTCAGGAGGTTCTGTAACTTAGCAATGACATCTCAGAAAACATTTGATGTTTTTCAGAAACATCCCTGGGGAGTCGAGCTATTGGCTCTTCTCAAAGGATATTTCTTAGCATATTGCGCATACATATATATATATATATATGTGTATCTTAGTTTCCATCCTTTTCAAACGGGCCTTCAAGAACGTGCATTTTCTCGAATTCTATGCAGTTTCCTGGTGTGTTCATGTTGCAGTCTTGGGTTGCGCTGCAGTTCTTTCAATCCTGTCAAATTCTTGAGGAGCAGCTTTGTACAGGGTCCTGTGGGCGACAAAGTACATAGCAGGTAATTCCCGGGTCTGTGTGTGTGTGTGGCAGACGTATACATACATACATACATACATACATACATACATACATACATACATACATACATACATACATACATACATACATACATACATACATACATACATACATACATACATACATACATCATACATACATACATACATACATACATACATACATACATACATACATACATACATACATACATACATACATACATACATACATACATACATACATACATACATACATACATACATACATACATACATACATACATACATACATACATACATACATACATACATACATACATACATACATACATACATACATACATACATACATACATACATACATACATACATACATACATACATACATACATACATACATACATACATACATACATACATACATACATACATACATACACATACATCATACATACATAATCATACGTACATACATACATACATACATACATACATACATACATACATACATACATACATACATACATACATACATACATACATACATACATACATACATACATACATACATACATACATACATACATACATACATACATACATACATACATACATACATGCATAATCATACATACATACATACATACATACATACATACATACATACATACATACATACATACATACATACATACATACATACATACATACATACATACATACATACATACATACATCATACATACACAATCATACATACACAATCATACATACATACATACATACATACATACATACATACATACATACATACATAATCACACATACATACATACACACACACATGCATGCATGCATGCATGCATACATACATACATACCTACACACATTACCTACATTACTTACATTACACATGCATGCATGCATGCATGCATGCATACATACATACATGCATTACATACATACACACATTACATACATTACATACAGTACATGCATTACATGCATTACATACATTACATACAGTACATGCATGACATGCATTACATGCATTACATACATTACATACATCACATACATTACATACATTACATACATTGCATACATTACATACATTGCATACATTACATACATTGCATACATTGCATACATTGCATGCATTGCATACATTGAATACACTGCATACATTTCATACATTACATGCATATATATATATATATGCATACCGACAGACAGAGACAGAGACAGAGACAGAGACAGAGACAGAGACAGAGACAGAGACAGAGACAGAGACAGAGACAGAGACAGAGACAGAGACAGAGACAGAGACAGAGACAGAGACAGACAGACAGACAGACAGACAGACAGAGACAGACAGACAGACAGACAGACAGACAGACAGACAGACAGACAGACAGACAGACAGACAGACAGACAGACAGACAGACAGACAGACAGACAGACAGACAGACAGACAGACAGACAGACAGACAGACAGACAGACAGACAGACAGACAGACAGACAGACAGACAGACAGACAGACAGACAGACAGACAGACAGACAGACAGACAGACAGACAGACAGACAGACAGACAGACAGACAGACAGACAGACAGACAGACAGACAGACAGACAGACAGACAGACAGACAGACAGACAGACAGACAGACAGACAGACAGACAGACAGACAGACAGGTATATAACGAAATGCATATATAAATGGAGGTGCATGCAACCAAACTCCTGGCGCGAGCGCAGGTGAGATTGCCATGTCCTTCTACATGATACACTTTGGCTTGCTGATGACGGTGTTGATGGGCTGCCTGGCTAAGAGGTGAGCGGGGTATGCAATAGAATAGGCTTGAGCACTGACCTCTTGTCACCAGGGCTCAGGGAAGGAGAAGTGATGGAATGACAATGAAAGAGCCGGATGCTTGTGCACTATGCACTTTGTTCATAGGTCAGAATTGAAACTGCAACACATGGAGATGTTGGAGAATTGGCGGTAGTTGCGGATCTTGGCTGAAGGCAGCGTATTGGTGCATGCAGTTGGGCTGGCCAAACAGGAAGCGTATCTAGACTTGTTGATGTTCCAGCACGGGCAACCGCACAAGAACTGGGCACGCAGGTTGTTCATAGTGTATGACTTTATACTCAGTCTTCATCATGCTAAACACAGCCTTGGGCCAAGTGTTTGGGGGTTCATTGGGTCGCATGCATTAGGATGATGGGTATTGTTGTGAAAGCAGCCACGCATTTTCCCATCATGCAGCATCATGAAACGACAATGTACTTTGGACTATGGTTCACTATCGTTGCGGCGCACACTGGAACACGCTCCTTTGAATCATCAACCAGGCATGGAGGGACTGAACCTTTACGACTTGCAATCGAACCTGCTCCAGTGTTTGTTTGCGGGGCGCTTACAAAACTGTTCGGTGGATGCGTCAGCGGCCCTTAGAGAGCCTTTAGAATCTAGAAGCAGCTCGACCCTGAGAAATATCTTGCACGTGGCTTGTCTCATGTCCCGTGCAATTGAGTCACTCCACATTTGTCTCAAAAGGCAAATCTACCAAGTTGCGCCGCGCCTGCATGAGGTTTGCTCCATTCTGGATTGAACCCGCCTATGAAATGTTGCCCGGAGTTGTTAGGAATTGAGTTTCATGCCGAGACGCAACCCAGTCAGAGACACCGGCAGATTGAGGGTGCGTCCCCAACGAAAGCATGTGTTTCTCCATGGAATTGCACATGTTTTCCTTTCTTGTCGCTTGTTTAGCCGCGGCACGACTGATCATGAGGCACGAAGATTGGCTACGCAGAGGTGCCCTGGTGGCTTTTGTTTTCCTGCTTTGCTGGGGCACTCCTGGCAGGAGGCTCGGCCTGAACTTGGAACTTGGGTTTGGGATGCATGTTGTGATTGTGTATGGTACATGTTTCTGTATATGTGTGTGTGTGTGAGCGCGTGTGTTTTGAATTTGTGTGTGGTGCGAGTGCGGGGAAGGGAAGGTCATCTAAGATCAAGCAGGATTTCATGGGGTGAGGGATGAGGACGAATCAAGAATGGGCCAGGTCAGGCGAGCTAAGGCACAATCGAGGCCTATAGACGGTGGGCCATTTCACGGAACAGAGAGACGCAAGTGAGTTCTGCACATCTCGAACACAATGGATGGGCAAAGCTTGTGGTTTATCGCAAGTGGTTTATGCTATGAACGCAAGTATCCGAAATGAAGCTTTGCATGCGCGCACCTTGGCAACTGTTTTCAGGGGAAACGCTGAGAAAGCTTGAGCTTGAGCAATCACCAGTTTTGACAAGGTCATTTTCTGTATATTGACTGCCAAAAGACTAGTTTAGATATTACCTGACATCCTTGCTGTAAGCATCACTGAGTTTGCGAACTCGTTCTTGGCCGCAGGGGAGGGAGGGTTTGTGCACCTTATCCACAGTGTTTGTAGAAAGGCCGGCAAGATGCAAAGCGTTACGTGCAGTGGAGCCAGAAAATATGCGGCCCTCATTTGATTGAGAAGCCCAACAAAAGGCCTACGTCACGGACTGCGCTTGGCACACGAGAGCAGTACCGATCAAAGTCAAGCTGTTTGAGTGATGTTGACATTTTTCCCATCAACTCGTTTGCAACCACGTGGTGACAAGCTTATTTAGCATCGCACTACGGGAGGCCTGTTCGCTGCTCAAAGCTGTCAGGTTCGGGAACAGTAAGTTAGGCTCTAACTGGTTGAGCTTGAACCATTCAAGAAGGGTCTGACCCGGCAATCCACAGCAATCTACAACCACTATGCCAAGCTGAGGATGGCTTCTGACGCGATTTGTCGAGGACCCGTCCCGAAAGTGCTTGAGAGGCTAGATGCCACGGATGGCTGTGAAAGGCCAAAGATGGCAGGAATTGATCCACGGAATCTACTCACAATGAGTTGAGGATGGTGGAACTGACCAAAGTGTCACTGGCTGTGCTCACAACCACGAGCAACCAGTCCCTAGTGTTGCTATGGGCAGTTTTGTGTAGTAAGATGGGAGGAGTGCCGGGCACTCCCCATGGACTTACAGAACACTCCCGGGCTCCCTTCAGTATTGTTGGAGCTGCCAATGGAAAATGCAAGGGTAGTCATGGGATGCACAGAGCACCACATCGAGCTTCCATCAATGCTGAGTGGAGAATGTTTGCATGGCCCTTTTGGCAAGGCTGTTTGCAGAAAGAGCTGTTCAGGCGCGCCTTATTTTGCTTTTGATTGCGCATTCACAAAAACACCTTTGCTTGAGGAGCTGCGACTGACAGTCTATTTGGTAAGAGTACGCTGGCTCTCTGAAGTGAAACAAGCAATCGAGGATTCTTATGGTCGGTTTAGTTCTAGCTGACTGGCATTGACTGCCCCGCCATAGGATCAGTATCGCAACAAAGGGCGTGGGCAGCCAGCGTGCCAGCGCAGCCAGCTGGGGGGCCTTGCTGGCGTTGCAGGCCAAGGTTGTGAAAAGCGAACATTTGGCAAGCTGGTTGCGAATTCGTGTAACTAGCTGAGATGGACCTCAGTAGGGAAACCACTGTGGCAGCTTAGCAGTTCCCATTCGAGTCTGGACTGGACCTTGCACCAGCTTTCAAGTTCGCTGTACTGAGTGGAGCTGGTCACTTGGATCGCTGCCATGGCAGCCGGCTTGGCTGCGTGACCACTCGCGCATTTTCCAGAAGACTTCGCCGCTCAACGGTGGGCTGGCGAACTGGCTAAGTATGGAGTGTGTATGAATGAGAGCGAGTTCCCATTCTGCGGGGAGAAAGACACTCGATTATATGGGGGTTGATCAAAAGGTCCTTCACATAGTAAATGGAAAAAGTTACCCATAGTCATTTGGGGTCAGGAATATTGATCAACCCCCATATGGAAAGCTTTGTAGGCAAAGGGAGTTGTTTTTGCAATTGGCTCATCCGAGTCTGCAGGAAACCTTTGAGTGATTTGATCCAAGTAGTCATGCTTCATATGACAGAATGTGTGGCCTCTTGAGGGTACCCTGTTTGAGGCCGGTTAACGGGAACCCACAGGGACACCACCCAAAGACGAGGAGGGACGGTCGCACAACTTCAAGGCCAGCCTGCTTGGCGTGCTACTTTCGAACGAGTTTTCAGGGCGTGCATGGTGCAGAATCAGGCCCTGTGCAAAACTCGGTGGTTACTGGATGTGCGCCTACTACCTGATGCAATTTGGTGATTTGTTGATATGTGTGTATTTGTTTTTGCATGTTTGTATTAGTTGTGTAGATGTCTGCTTTTGCTTTGACACATGTTACCCAGGGCTCAAGGCTATCGCCAGTCTCCACGAGCGCCGGGAGTGCTGTAAATGTTCTCCTGCTTGGCCCTTTGACATGGCGCGCGGGGAAAAAAAGAAAAACGTGCAGACAGACAAAGGGGCCCACTCCGGAGATCGTTTGGCTTCTTGCACTTCCAGGAGTGTAAGGCTTCTTTGTGGGAACCCTTCTTGTCAACTGAGTAAATGGAGCTCTAGCTTCGTGACGCAGAGAGCGTGGGGTTTGTTCTCTTACTTTCGACACTTGCTGTTCAAAATCCAAGCATCCCATCACATACAGCAGCGGCACTCCGAGCATATTTGCTGTCATTATCATTTGGCCAGCGTACAGTGCGGCAGGATTGGCAGTGGCTAGGATTTCCAAAGTATGCTTTGAGCTAGATACTTGGTGGTGAGCATGAGGAAGGTAAGCGTGGAGCAGTAGGCGGCAATGCTGCGAGGGCGCTGTGGGTTGGGTGCTTGAAAGGAGAGATGTCGGTGTGGAGAGTGTATCATGGTGCGGTGCTGGTGAAGAGATGTGCCAAAGAGGCGGGACACAATTGTATATCCAGAAGGCGGACTGAATTTTATGCCAAGCCAAAGACACCCAACTGGGATTACCCGTAGTAGTACGGTCAAGTGGTTTTGCGGCCACGCTGTAATGTATCTCATGGATATGTGGCGCGCCTCGGGTCTCCGAGGCGCCAACCAAACACGCAGCCCTGAGCGAGGGGTCAGTGCTCGCGTGCTGAAAGAGCTTGAGCGCAGCTTGCGGAGCTTTTGCAGTCCTAGACTTTGACACCAATGAGACCCCGAATGTGAGAGCTATTGAGAAGGCCTGGATTCACTTTCATCCAGCTTGAAAGTGGCCAGCATGTTGTTGGACGTGCCATTTGTTTGATGGGTTGCTTGTGCTCAGCCGTGTTCTGCACGCCGCTTCATGCCGTAACAAATGTGTTGTTTCTTCGGGATGCATCCCAATCCGGTGTTCAACTCGAACAAATGCAATTTGATTTGGCTGTTCACCAGCGTTCACAACTACGGCGATGCTGCGGCAAAAGGTGGAGAGATAGAAGCTGTAGAGCAATTGACATGTGACTTGCTATTGTTCGACTACGCCTTGAAGAAAGTTGCACATCCCCCGTCCCCCCAGCATTGGGAATATCGCCGATTTGTGGTGTGGTGCAAGTGCATAGCATCATTGGGCAATGCCAATCTGCTTGCCAGCCTAGCCCCGCGAAGCAGCCTTCAGCTTGCCAGGACAAAAGCATTCCGCCTCGCAGCTGCAGACCTTGATTGAGGAGGCGCGCTTGTGGGTCTTCAAGCCCGCATAGCCTTAATCATCCTAGTTTCCTGTGGTGCTGATGTTACCCCAGAGATATTTTATCTTTTTTGCGGCATCTCATGCCCACCGAGATGCCACCAAGATGATGTGATGCCACTCAGCCCCCTTTCCACCTGGCCAAGGCCTGCAAACGGCGAGTGGGATTCGTGCACAAGGAGGGCAGCGGGCATTCGGCGTTCCCGGTTTGGCTGTGATTTCTCCCTGGGATGACGAAGGACATAGATTCGGAGGAGAAACACGAGCCATTCCCTATTTGACACTGTTGAGGACCAGCGAGGTTTCTAGGAATGGTGTTCGTCCATACACTTGGTTTTTAACGACATGCGGCAAGCGCGAGAATCACTCCCAGAGATGCCTGTCCGCTGCATGCGGATGTAACTTGATGGCAGCTCGGTTGGCAGGACGAGTCAGGAAAGCTGGTGGATGCTGCCGACGCAACAATGCGATCTATGACAAAGGCCCGCTTTGAGTTGATACCAGGTCTACCAGAGTTTTGTAGACAAACCCTTAGAGGCAACCTAGGCCATGCAAGGAGTCCTGACACGAACACATCTCGGACGCACAGCCGCCACGTCTTGACTGGGAAGCCTACTTAGGTTCATCACCTGGGTTCCCTGAGGGTGTGATCTATTTAGCAAGTTGATTGATATGAGTTCACCAGGGTTCCTGAATTACATTTGCCAGCTGATTAGCAGGGCTGATCGAACAGATGATGTTTGGATACTGCCGCATTCAGGAGACTGTTTTCTGTTGAGTTTGATGAGCATGAAAGCTTCAGGAACATGACATTTACAACTGCGGACTTTTGGAGCAGACTTAGATATCAGCATTTGGAATTAACGTGCAATGTTGAAACGCCCTGAGGCTTCCCATCCAGGCAATGGCGCTGACACGCGAAAGGAGTTTTGACCCCTCAGTGATTTGAGACAGCCATGTGAATGCCTATGCAATAGATCCCGACCATAGCCTGGCAGAAGTTTTTCCAGCACACTTGTGCAGGTGGAGATGCGGCTAGTGCTGGCCGCGTACCTTGCCTCCCGAGTGAGCAAGCAGGAGGGACGCGTGACTTTACGGCCGGGTCGGTTGGAAAAAACTGGAGGGGAGCCCAGGAGCAGGGAGGCATTTGACTCTAGAGTCGCGTGCAGGTTGTAACTGTTTTTTCAAATAACATCAACTCCGGTCATTCCTTTCGGTCACTCCTTTTACCATGGTGATAACTTATAAAGACAACGAGTGGGATAGTTCTCCAAGAGCGGGTTAACCCAGTTCAAAGTGCGGATGATACCATGAAGTTTGGAATTGGACAGCTTGTCTACGTTCGCTGAGAGACGGAATCGTGAGGGTTGCACGGACCTTTTGTTTGTGCGTTTTGCGTTGATCACAGCTCTTGGTTCAATTGTTACTAGTTTGAACCCCTCAAGCTCCAGCCCCTTTAATTCCCTTGGAGAATGTAACGCTTGGCTGGTTGTTCTGTCTGTTCCCAGGATGATCGGCAGCTGTTCCTGGGCAACGGCGGAAAGCGGCGGCGCTTCAATGTTGTCAGGCGTTGAGTGGGATGTGTGGAGTCGTGGAATCGAATCTGACAGTGGCTGCACGAGTTGTGTGCAGCTTCAATCAGCGCCCAGCAGAATGCGGTCGCGGCAAACCAGCACATATAGATGGAGGGTTTCTCAAGCAGCATGTAAGACGCTCGTTTTCAAGTTCAACCTGGGGTCGGCCTTGAGGCAAGGGCAATCAGCTCGGCTCCTGGGGCTTTCGGGTTCCTTTGTGCTTTGCGACATCGCTTCCAGGCAAAAAGACCCGGGCTTCCCTGCCCATGTGCAAGCGCCGGCGGCGGTGGCGATGCCAGCCCGCGCCTCACTCCTCGCTGCGCCTCGCGTCTCGATGCGTCACTTCGTTTCATGTTTGTAGGAGTGGCACGAGGTGGGTTGGCTGGTTCTTTGTTTGCTTGCTTGTTTAGGTGTTAGTTGGTCGGCAAAGTGGCACAGCAAACGTCTCCAGGGCTGTGTCAGACTTGGCTTTTGGGTAGTTTGGACTGGCGTCAACGTGGTCATATTGCCCCCGAAGGCAGCTCAAAGCCAAACCTAACTTCACAAAAGTTCAAGCCAAATAGTGGGCCATCGTCGCAAGATGGAGCTCCTGCCCGGCTTACGTTGACTCTGGGGGTACGATTACTACTTACAGGCTTGTCAAGTTTGGCGTGTTGTTTGGCGGTTGACAATCTTGAATCAGGAAATCACTTGGGTGTTTCAGCATGGGGTGTCCTACCAGACCCTGCGGTGCCTGTCAACGGCTGGCAGTTGGCCAGGATGCATCAACATTTCTTATCGAGAGAGGTTAGGTGGCAAGTCATGATCACGAAGAAGTCACTCGCCATGTCTTCAGGATGGCCCCCTTTGCTTCTTGCTTCTTGCTTCTTGCTTCTTGCTGTTTTTCGCCTCAGCGCCTGCTGGCCGTCTACCATCGCT